TCCCCCCAGGGTGGTGGCAGTGTCCCTGGGCCGGGGGAGGCAGGGCTGTACCCCTTATGTCCCCTCAGGGCAGTGGCAGTGTCCCTGGGCCGGGGGAGGCAGGGCTGTCCCTCTCTGTGTCCCCCCAGGGCAGTGGCAGTGTCCCTGGGCTGGGGGAGGCAGGGCTGTCCCTCTCTGTGCCCCTCGGGAGTTCCCGTGTGTCGTGCCAAGCGGGTCCTGCTTGGGGACACAGGGGACAGAGGTTGTCCCGGTTCCCGGCCCTGACCCGCCCCACCCGCAGAGGACAAACAGGTACTGCAGAACCTGAAGCGCATCCTGGCCAAGGTGCAGGAGATGCGGGACCAGCGCATGTCCCTGGAGCAGCAGCTGCGGGAGATGATCCAGAAGGACGACATCACCACCTCGCTGGTCACTGCTGACCGCTCCGAGATGAAGGTGGGCTTGGGGACAGCCCTGTGTCCCCCTCAGGGACCGCGCTGTCCCTGGCCCCGCTGACCCTCCCGTGTCCCCGCAGAAGCTCTTTGAGGAGCAGCTGAAGAAGTACGACCAGCTGAAGGTGTACCTGGAGCAGAACTTGGCTGCGCAGGAGAACGTGCTCAAGGCCCTGACCGACGCCAACGTCAAATACGCGGCTGTGCGCAAGGCCCTGGCCGAGGTGGAGCACAAGTGAGTGAGGACGGGGGTCTCGGTGCCCTGGGGGGTCTCGGTGCCCAGGAACAGCCCCCAGCCCCTGGGACCACCACCAGCTTCTCCTGTCCCACTGCTGAGGCTGTGGTGGCTTTGTCCCGTCCTGGTGCCCATCCTGGTGGGAACCGGAGGGTCCCGCGGGTGCCCGGAGCTGGGTGCCCACCCTTACCCAGCTGCTGTGCCCCTGCCCAGGTGGAACACCACCGTGCAGACCCTGGTGGCCTCCTACGAGGCCTACGAGGACCTGATGAAGAAGTCCCAGGAGGGGAAGGATTTCTACACGGACCTGGAGGGGAAGGCGGCCAAGCTGCTGGAGCGGGCACGGGCCGCGTGCCAGGCCAGCGAGGCCCACCGGCAGCAGCTGCTGGAGAGGTGGGTGGGCACAGAGCGGGGGGCAGCGAGACCCCCGGGCTGAGAGGGGCCTTGGGGAGCTGTGGGCGGGGGTCTGGGGGCAGTGGGGGGCTCCTGGTGCCCCTCACTGACCCCCGGCCCCTCAGGGAGCTGAAGAAGCAGCCGCCCCCCCGGCCCACGGCCCCCAAGCCCCCCCTGCAGAAGAAGCCGCCGGAGGAGGGTCCCGAGGCGGCCGAGCTGAGCTCGCTGGTGCTGCCGGAGCTGCCGGAGGAGCTGCGGAGCGTCCCCCCGGAGCTGCTGCCCGGGCCCCTGGGCCAGCTGCCGGTGCTGACCGCCCTGCCCGGGGGGCTGCGGGCCCCGGAGCCCTTCCTGCTGCCGGGGGGCTGCCCGGTGCCCCGCTGGCCCCCGCTCCGCCGTTCCCGGGCCGCTACCGCCTGCCCGGGCCGCCCGCCGTGCCCGGTCCCTTCGCCGCTCCCGGGCCGGTACCGGGGCCGCTGCTGCAGCCCTCGGCCCCGGCCGGCCCCGCCGCCGCTCCGCTCTTCCCGGCCTTCGGTGGGGCGGCCCCGGGGCCGCCGCCGCGCTCGTCCCCGCAGCACGGACCCCTGCCCGCCGCCGCCTACGGGCTGGGCCCGGCCCCCGGCCCGCTCCGCCCGCCCGGGGCTCCCCCCGGGGCCGGCCCGGAGCCCCCCGGGACGCGCCCGGCCACCACCACGGTGGACAGCGTCCAGGCCCCCATCTCCAGCTGCCCCGTGCCCCCCCGGGCCCCCGCGGGCCCGTTCCTGCCCCCCCAGCGCCCCCCGGGACCCTTCCCCTACCCCGCACCGGGGGTCCAGCCCTTCGGGACCGCGGCTCAGCCGCCCTTTCCCCCGGCACAGCCGCCGCCCGCCTTCGCCCAGCAGTTCCCCCCGGGTCCCTTCCTGCCCCCGGGCCGAGCCCAGGCCCCTCTGCCCTTCCAGCCGCCCCCCCGAGTCCCCCTGGCGCCCCAGTTCCCCCAGCAGCGCTTCGCCGCTCCGGGGGCGCCGCTGCCGCCCCAGCTCTACCCGCTGCCCGGGCAGGACCCGCTGCCCCCCACGGGCCTCGCCCCACGCCCGGGGGCCGTGCCCTTCCCCGGGACCCCCGCCCCGAGCGGCCCCCCGGCCCTGGCGGGGCTCCAGCCGGTGCCCCCCGGCTCCCCGGCCCTGCCCTTCTGCCCCAGCCCGGCTCCCCCCGGCACCGTGGCCCTGTGTCCCCCCGTGCCCACCCAGCCCAGCCACAGCCAGGCCCCTTCTCCCGGCCCGCTGCCGGGCACCGTGGTGGTCCAGGGCCCGCTGGTTCCATCCCCGGCCCCGTCCCCATCCCCGGCCCTGCCCGTGCAGCCCCCGGCACCGCGGCCACCCCCGCCGGGCTCCGGGGACTCGCCGTTCCCCCGGCAGAGCCCCTGCCCCGCCGACCTGCTGTCCTCCAGCCCCGAGAGCCAGCCCGGCGGCTCGGCCGCGCCCGGGGGGCTGCTGCAGCCCACCAAGGCCGGGCCGCAGGAGGGGCAGCGGCCCAGGGCCGTGCAGCTCATCGAGGCCGACCCGTACGCGGAGCCCGAGCGCGTGCGGCGGCTGCTGGCCGAGCTGGAGCGGTTCCGCGGCCTGGCCCAGCGGCTGGAGCGGCCCGCGCCCGGCGGTGGATCCGAGCTGGACGCGCTCTGGAAGGAGCTGCAGGAGGCCCAGGAGCGCGACGCCCGGCAGCGCTCCATCGCCATCGCCCGCTGCTACTCCATGAAGAACCGCCACCAGGACATCATGCCCTACGACCGCAACCGCGTGGTGCTGCGCTCGGGCAAGGACGACTACATCAACGCCAGCCGCGTGGAGGACCTGTCCCCGTACTGCCCCGCGCTCATCGCCACCCAGGCCCCGCTGCTCGGCACCGCCGCCGACTTCTGGCTCATGATCTACGAGCAGAAGGTCTCCGTGGTCGTCATGCTGGTGTCCGAGCAGGAGCTGGACAAGGTGCGCCCTGTCCGGGGTGGGACACCCTGCGCGGTGCCCGTGGGTGGCACCCGAGGGTCGCTGGGCCCTGCTGACGGCTGTCCCCGGCAGAAGGTGCTCCGGTACTTCCCGGCGGAGCGGGGCCAGCCCGTGGCCCACGGCCCCCTGAGCGTGGCGCTCACCGGCCTGCGGGTCACCCCCACGCACGTGGAGCGGATGCTGACGCTGCAGTACCGGGAGCAGAGTCTCAAACGCACCGTGGCCCACCTCCAGTTCACCTCCTGGCCTGAGCTGTACGCTGGGGGGCAAAGGGGGGTTTGGGGGACCCTGATCTTCTGGGGGGGCTTGGGGGGACCCTGATCTTCTGCGGGGGCGGTTCTGGGGGGGCTTGGGGGGACCCTGATCTTCTGCGGGGGCGGTTCTGGGGGGTTTGGGGGACCCTGATCTTCTGTGGGGGCGGTTCTGGGGGGGTTTGGGGACACTGATCTTCTGCAGGGGCGGTTCTGGGGGAGTTTGGGGGACCCTGATCTTCTGTGGGGGCGGTTCTGGGACCTCGGCTCTGGTGTCGGGGAGGGTGTTTGGGCAGCCCTGACCCGTCGGGGGTCTGGGTGCAGACCCCCCCCAGCGAATGCGTGTTCCCCCACCCCAGGGGCCTGCCCGACAGCAAGGGGAGCCTCCTGCGCTTCATCCAGGAGGTGCACGGCCATTACCTGCACCAGCGCCCGCTGCACACCCCGGTGGTGGTGCACTGCAGGTGAGCGGGTGGGGGGCTCTGGGGGCGGGGGAGAGGGGCTCTGGGGGCGGGGGAGAGGGGCTCTGGGGGCGGGGGAGAGGGGCTCCCCCATCTCGGGGCTCTGGCACGGCTCGGGGGTCTCTCGGCAGCTCCGGCGTGGGCCGCACCGGCGCGTTCTGCCTGCTGTACGCCGCCGTGCAGGAGCTGGAGGCCGGGAATGGCATCCCCGACCTGGCGCAGCTGGTGCGGCGCATGCGGCAGCAGCGCAAACACATGCTGCAGGAGAAGGTACTGCGTGGGGCGGCGTGTGGGGCGTGGGCTGCACCCCACGGGCCTCCTCACCGCCTCCCCTTCTCTCCCCTGCAGCTGCACCTCAAGTTCTGCTTCGAGGCCGTGCTGCTCCACGCCGAGCAGCTGCTGCTGCGCCACGGCGTGGGGGGCCCGGGCCCGGCCAAGCCCCCCAGCAGCAGCAGCTCCCCCAAGGTGGGTTAGGGGCGTGTGGGGGGCTCGGGGAGCTGCGGCCCTGCCCCGCCTCACCCTCACCCTCACGGGCCGCTCTCCCCCAGCTCTACTTCCAGCAGGACCCGCAGGACCTGGTGCTGGGGGGGACGTGCCCATCAGCTCCATCCAGGCCACCATCGCCAAGCTCAGCATCAAACCGGGGGGGGGACCCAGCGCCGAGCCCGCCGAGGGCTGGGGGGGGGATCCCGGCCCGGCCCCGGCCCCGGAGGAGCCCGAGGTGCCGCTGGCGGTTCCTGACGGTGTCGTGGATGGTGTTGGAGTTCCCGATCCCCCCTCCCCGAGGCCGCCGCTCCCCGAGGCTTCAGGCGATGCTGAGAGCAGCAACCACGTTGTGGGGGAGAGCCCCGAGGGGCCGGGGGCGCCGGCTGAGCCCCCCGCTGCCCCCCCAGCCTCCTCCTCCTCCTCCTCCCTGGAGCTGCTGGCCTCGCTGACGCCCGAGGCGTTCAGCCTGGATGCGTCCCTCAAGGGCAAGCAGCGCATGAACAAGCAGAATTTCCTGCAGGCACAGCCGGGCGAGGGGCTCCGCGCCCCCCGGCCCAGCGACGACCCCCTCAGCATGCTCGACCCCCTCTGGACCCTCAACAAGGCGTGAGGGGGGTGGGGGCCCCCCGGCCCCCAGCCCCACTGGGTCTGACTCCAGGTAGAAGTGACTTTTTCAGCTCTTTGCTACTAAAATAAAGCGAGTTTATCTGCAGGGCCGGGCCTGGTGCTGCCGGGAGCGGGGGGGGGGGGTCAGGGCAGAGCCAGGCTCGGGTTAGTTCCGTTTAATGGATGTTCTGCACACGTTATAAAACACGATCGGTACAAAAAGCGTCCCCTGTACAGCACAAAGGTACAGCCGGGCGAAGGCCACCCGCGGGGGCTGGGCCGGGGGCCCGGGGGCCCCGGGGGTCCCCCTGCCCCAGCCCGGCGCCGCCTCTACAATCACCGGGGGTCGAGAACAGACACGGGCGGGAGGGGCCGGCAGCCCCGGTTTGGGGGGAGCCCCGGTTTGGGGGAAGCCCCGGTTTGTGGAGCCCCGGTTTGGGGGCAGCCCCGGTTTGTGGGGAGCCCCGGCTCAGGGGGAGCCCCGGTTTGGGGGGAACCCCGATTTGTGGGGAGCCCCGGTTTGTGGGGAGCCCCGGTTTGGGGGTAGCCCCGGTTTGTGGGGAGCCCCGGCTCAGGGGGAGCCCCGGTTTGGGGGGAACCCCGATTTGTGGGGAGCCCCGGTTTGTGGGGAGCCCCGGTTTGGGGGCAGCCCCGGTTTGTGGGGAGCCCCAGTTTGGGGGGTGCCCCGGCTCGGGGGGAGCCCCGGTTTGTGGGGAGCCCCGGCTCGGGGGGAGCCCCGGTTTGGGGGAGCCCCGGTTTGGGGGGACCCCGGTTTGGGGGGAGCCCCGGGTGCTGCACCTCGTCCTGTCCCTGGCTGTGCTCGTTGGTCCCGCCGTGTCCCCGCTCGGGTCCCTCCCAACCTGAGAAAAGCCTCCTCTGGCCCCGCAGCGGGAGGAGGAGGAGGAAGGGGAGGATGAGGAGGAGGAGGAGGAGGAAGGTGCTATTGCTGCAGACGGGGCGCAGGAAGGAGCCGGGCAGGGCAGCTATGCCAGGGCACGTCCAGGGCAGCGCTGGCGGGGCTGGAGCCCCGCGCCCCCCGCCCCAATAAATAACTATTTACAGCGTATAAATAAATAGAGCGGGGGCAGCTGCGGGATCGGGCGGGGCCCTGCCGCGCCCTAAGGCACGTGGGGGCCGAGCCGTGCCCGGAACGGGTCGGTCCCGGTCCTTCCCCGGCTGCCGGAGCTCCCGGGGACCGCCCGAAGGTCCGGACCGGGCGGAGCGGCCCCTCCGCGCTCGGTGAGCGGAGTCGCTCCGGTGGCGCCGCTGGAGCCGAGCAGCCCCCGGCCCCGGTCCCTCCGACCCCTCCTGCTGCTCAGTCCAGCTTCTCCAGCACCGAGGGCACGTAGACCAGGCTGAGCTCGCTGCCGAAGTTGCAGACGATGGCGGCGTTCTCCAGCACCAGGATCTGCCGCGCCGGCTGCGACTCGTTGCTCTTGCCCAGGTAGACAGTCTGCAGCAGGTCCCCGTAGCCGATGTCCCAGAAGGACACGCAGCCCTGGCCGCCCGTCACCAGCAGGTTGTCGGAGATGACGCCCAGGCTGGCACCGCAGCCCAGCTCCTGCGGGAGGGCGCAGAGCTGAGCTCCGAGGGCAGGACCCGGCCTGACCCCTGAGCTGAGCCCTGCGTGTGCCGGGGAGGCGGTTCCGAGCTGCTCCAGAGGCTCCTCAGCCTCCAAGGAAAACCCAGGAGGGTGTGAGATGGAGCTGGGGAGTCTCAGCCTGGAGAAAAGGAGGCTCAAGGGGGACCTTGTGGCTCTGCACAAGGAGGGGACAGCCTGGGGAACAGGGACAGAAGAGGGAACAGCCCCAGGCTGGGCCAGGGCAGGTCAGGGTGGGCACAGCAGGAATTTCCCCATGGAAAGGGTGATGAGACTTTGGAAGGGGCTGCCCAGGGTAGCAGAGCAGCCCCTTCCCTGGAAGGATTAAAAGCCCAGTGGATGTGGCACCTGGGGACACAACAGCGGTGGCCTTGGCAGCACAGGCGGGGTGGTTGGACTCTGTGGTCTCCGAGGGTTTTCCAAACCAAACAATTTCCCTGTTAACCCTCCCCAGCTGCCCCCAGGTCCCACCTGCTGGATGGAGTAGAGCTTGATGCCCGAGCTGCGGTCCCAGATGCTGATGACATCGTCCAGGCCGCTGCTGATGACGCAGGACGTGGTGCAGGTCAGGGAGGTGACGTCCCCGCGGTGGGCGAACATGTGGCTGACCCGGCTGCCCGTCAGCACGTCCCACAGGCAGATGGCCCCGTCCTGGCCGCCACTGGCCAGCACCATGGTCTGGGGGACACCGGGAATGTGTCAGCACCCGGGCACATGTGGCACCAGCAGCTGCAGGAGGTGACCTGAGCCAGGCTGGAGCCCTGCACTGCCAGCCCAGGGCTGCCCTCCCTGTTCCCTGGCCTTGAGCAGGCTGGAGGAGCAGCCCGGGTCCCCCAGGAGCCCCAGGCAGAGGCACCCGAGGTCACTTCCGTGGGGTGGGAGAGCACCTGGGGGCACACGCTGCTGTAGGAGCACACTGGGGACCCCCACTCCTCCTGGGGGTGGGGGCAGAGCCTCCCTGGGGGCTCAGGCTTCATTTCAGGCCTGTTCAGCCCGATCTGGCAGTGCAGGAATGGGGATTCCCTGCTCCAGAAGGACAGAGCAGCGAGAGAGAGACTCCAGGGAAAGAGATTGCTGAGCTCACAGAGAACTGGGGGAAAACTCAGGCTTGGCCAGAGAGATGCAGGGACCAGGTGAGTGCCCCCAGCCGGGCCCCGGGCTCAGGGGTGGGCCAGGGGTGTGACCTCAAGGGTGGGCTCAGGTGTGAGGGCTCAGGTGTGAGGGCTCAGGCCCAGCAGCTCCCCGTACCTGGTCGATGTACACGGCTGTGATGGCCCCCGAGTGGCCCTGCAGGGTGAACAGGCAGCACGAGTCCTCCAGCCGGAACACCTGGGGCAGGAGAGGCCCGAGTCAGGCTCTGGGGCCAGCCCAGCTCCCACTGCAGCACAGCCAGGGGCCTCAGGGTGGTGCCAGGGCAGTGACTGCACAGCTGAAGGGGACAGGGGACGTCCTGGAACCTGGATCTGCCACTCGGGGCATGTCACAGCAACCTCGTGGAATGCTCCAGTCTGGGCACACAGGAGCTGCAAAGCTGGGAAGGACCCTGGGGTGCTGCTGGATGTGGCCAGCTGTGCCCAGCTGTGCAAGAAGGTAACAGCACCTGGATGGCATCAGAACCAGTGTGGCCACAAGACCAGGGGGGGACTGTCCCCCTGTGCTGGCCCTGCTCAGGGGCCTCAGATCCTGGGAGCTGCTTTGGGTCCCCCTGACAGGAAGACCTGGAGCGTGTCCAGGACAGGGAATGGAGCTGGGAAGGGGCTGGGGAAGCTGGAAAGGGGCTCAGCCTGGAGAAAAGGGGGATCAGGGGGGACCTGGTGGCTCTGCACAGCTCCTGACAGGAGGGGCAGCCTGGGAACAGGGACAGGAGGAGAGGGAAGTTTAGGTTGGATATTGGGAAAACTTTGTGGGAGAGGGTGGTCAGGCATTGGAAGGGGCTGCCCAGGGCAGAGGTGGAGTCCCCATCCCTGAAGGGATTTTAAAGCCATGTTGATGTGGGAATTGGGGACATGGGTTGGTGGTGGCCTTGGCAGTGCTGGGGACTGGTTGGACTTGATAGTCTTGAAGATCTTTCCCACCCTCAATGATTCCATAACTCTCTGAAGTCACCCATTCCCAAGGCACGAGGGTTCAGGGTGACACTCACCAGGCTCTGTCCTTCACCTCCTCCCATGCCCCATGCAGGCAGAGGAAGAGACCCCAGGGAGCTCCCGGAGCCACCCTGCCCGCATGCCCCTGCAGCTGTCCCTGTCCCTGTCCCACGGGCCCTGCTCCCTGTCCCTGTCCCCTGTCCCTGCCCCATCCCGTGCTCCTGTCCGTGTCTCTGTCCCCGTCCCATGCTCCTGTCCCTGTTCCTGTCCTGTGCTCCTGTCCCCTGTCCCTGTCCCCTGTCTCTGTCCCTGTCCTGTGCTCCCTGTCCCCGTCCCTGTCCCTGTCCTGTGCTCCCTGACCCTGTCCCCATCCCCATCCCTGTCCCTGTCCCATGCGCTCTGTCCCTGTCCCGTGCTCCCTGTCCCTGTCCCGTGCTCCCTGTCCCTGTCCGTGTCCCCGTCCCTGTCCCTGTGTCCCTGTCCCCATCCCCATCCCCATCCCTGTCCCCGTCCCTATCCCCGTCCCTGTGTCCCTGTCCCCTGTCCCCATCCCCGTCCCCATCCCTGTCCCCTGTCCCTGTCCCCCATCCTGTGCTCCTGTCGCCGTCCCTGTCCCATGGGCCATGCCCCTGTCCCCGTCCCCTGTCCCTGTCCCCATCCCCGTCCCTGTCCCATGCGCTCTGTCCCTGTCCCCGTCCCTGTCCCGTGCTCCCTGTCCCTGTCCGTGTCCCCGTCCCTGTCCCTGTGTCCCTGTCCCCATCCCCATCCCTGTCCCCGTCCCTGTCCCCGTCCCTGTGTCCCTGTCCCCTGTCCCCATCCCCGTCCCCATCCCTGTCCCCTGTCCCTGTCCCCCATCCTGTGCTCCTGTCGCTGTCCCTGTCCCATGGGCCATGCCCCTGTCCCCATCCCCTGTCCCTGTCCGTGTCCCCATCCCCATCCCTGTCCCCATCCCTGTCCCTGCCCCTGTGTCCCTGTCCCCTGTCCCTGTCCCCATCCTGTGCCCCTGTCCCCTGCCCCTGTGCCCCTGTCCCCTGTCCCTGTGTCCCTGTCCCCGTCCCTGTCCCCTGTCCGTGTCCCCGTTCCTGTCCCTGTCCCATGCTCCTGTCCCCTGTCCTATGCTCCCTGTCCCCATCCCTGTCCTTGTCCCCATCCCGTGTCCCTGTCCCTGTTCCATCCCCGTCCCTGTCCCTGTGTCCCTGTCCCTGTCCCTCTCCCCGTCCCTGTCCCTGTGTCCCCATCCCTGTCCCTGTGTTTCTGTCCCTGTCCCCATCCCGTGCTCCCTTACCCTGTCCCCATCCCTGTCCCTGTGTTTCTGTCCCTGTCCCCATCCCGTGCTCCCTTACCCTGTGTCCCCATCCCTGTCCCTGTGTCCCCTGTCCCCGTCCTGTCTGTGTCCCTGTCCCCGTCCCATGCTCCTGTCCCATGTCCCTGTCCCCATCCCCATCCCCATCCCCGTCCCCGTCCCCGGCGCTCACCCTCAGCGTGTGGTCCTGGCTGCCGGTGACGAGGCGCCCGGCGGCGGCGCGCAGGGCGGTGATGGGTTTGTGGTGGGCGCAGGGCACGCCGTGGGTCAGCCGGCAGCGCAGCGCGGCGCCGCGGCACAGCTCCGGCGAGGGCGGCAGGCTGCCCCTGCCCGGGCCACCTGCGGGCACACACACACACACACGGCTGGCAGGGCAAGGGCACCTGGGCTGTGGGGCACTGAGGGCTCAGCAGGCTCAGAGAATTCCTGCTTTGGGTGATAGAGCCCTTAAATCCCATCAGTCCCACATTTCCACTGTCCTTGGCTGCTCCTTTCCGGGCCACCTGCGGGCACACACATGGCTGGCAGGGCAGGGGAAGGGCACCTGGGCTGCGGGGCGCTGAGGGCCTCAGCAGGCTCAGAGAATTCCTGCTTTGGGTGATAGAGCCCTTAAATCCCATCAGTCCCACATTTCCACTGTCCCGGGCTGCTCCTGGCAGAGCCCCGCCCAGCCTGGCCTTGGATGCTCCCAGGGATGGGCAGCCACAGCTTCTCCAGGAAATTCATCCCATCCCTCGCTGCTCGCTCAGGGAAGAATTTCCCCCCAGTATCCCATGGGAATCATCCCCTCTGTTCTGCTCCAGAAGCAAAGGAACCCCCTGCTCTAACCAGCCACCCCCATGGCCACTCTGGCTGTGCTGTGGCTGTTCCCGGGCTGGGAACAAGTGGGACAGGGAGAAAGGAGGGACAAGTGGAAGGAGGTAAGGGCAGAGCTGGCCCTGGAAGCACATGGGAGCCTCCAGCCCCACGCCCTGGGTTAAAACCAGCAGGGGGATGATGGGGAATGGTGTCCCAGCACAGGGAGCTCCCCCAGCAGCCCTCAGCTCAGCACAGCCCCTGCTGCTTTTGGAGCAGTTACCACCAAAGTTACCAGCAGTTACCACCAAAGCTGAAGGGGCTGTGAGGAAGACTCAGCTCCGAGGAGGAAGAGGGAGGAGGGGACAGCAGGAGCCCAGGGCAGCACATTGACATTCCAACCCCTGCTCACCTCGGAACTGCAGGTGGTTCAAGGACGTGTGTGTCTCCAGAGAGAAGAAATCCAAGGAGCCGTTCAGCCGGGCAGCCACGATCCTGAGGGAGAAACGTGGGGGCTGAGGAGAGGCCCCTCCCTGAGCCCCAAACCCGGACACCCCCGGGCCAGGCACAGAGCACCCACCCCCGGGAGGTGCTGCAGGGCACTGGCCACAGCTCTGAATGGACTGGACAGTGGCAGTGCCCCTGGAACAGCAGGCACCCAAAGGTGTCCCAGCCCTGACACCCTCCGGATATTCAGCTGCTGGCCAGACTGAGGGCTGGAGAAGTGGCTGCTGGAGCAGCCTGGAGCCAGGAAAGCTGCTGAGAGGTGGATACACAGAAGGATCAGGCTGGATGTGAGGCTGGATAGCAAGAAAAGGTGGTTGGACACTGGATGGGCTCCAACCCTGCCAGAGCTCAGGAGTGTTGGACCAATCTCCCAGGCACGGGGTGGGGTTGTTGGGGTGTCTTGGGCAGAGCCAAGGTTGGACTCCATGATCCTTGGGGGCCCCTTCCAGCTCAGGACATTCCACGACACTGATTCCAAGGAAGAGACATCCCAGCCCAGCCTCTGCTGCCAGGAGCAGCCGTGGAGGTTGGGGCTGGGGATCTCCCAGCCCAGCACAAGGAGTTACCTGTTGTTGAGGAAGACGAGGGCTGTGATGCCGGATTGTCCTTCATCGTTGCTGCTGCGGAGGGTCCCCTCGATGGCATCCCACACCTGGGGGAGGAGGGGTCACTGCGGTGACACTGGCCAGAGCAGCACGGGACACAGGGGGATGTGGGGTCCTCAACAGCTCCCTGTGCTCTGCTCCCAGCCCCTGAGCTGAGTGAGCAGGTCACAGCTCCCTGTGCCATGCTCCTAGGCTGTGTGACCTCCTGCCTCCTGTTACTGTGTCCCTGCTCCTCATCTCCACCTTCCCGTTGCTGTGTCCCTACTCTTCATCTCCACTTCTCCATTACTATGTCCCCATTCATCTCCACCTCCCATTACTGTGTCCCTGTCCCCCATCTCCTCCCCGTTACTGTGTTCCTGTCCCCCATCTCCTTCTCCCCGTTACTGTGTCCCTGTCCCCCATCTCCTCCCCGTTACTGTGTTCCTGTCCCCCATCTCCTTCTCCCCGTTACTGTGTTCCTGTCCCCCATCTCCTTCTCCCCGTTACTGTGTCCCTGTCCCCCATCTCCACCTCCTGTTACTGTGTCCCCATTCATCTCCACCTTCCCAGTGCCGTGTCCCCGCTCCTCACCTCCACCTCCCATTACTACATCCCTGCTCCTCACCTCCACCTCTCTGTTACTGTGTCCCGGTTCCTCATCTCCACCTTCCTGTTGCTGTGTCCCCATTCATCTCCACCTCCCCTTACTGTGTCCCTGTCCCCCATCTCCTCCTCCCCATTACTGTGTCCCCCATTCACCTCCACCTCCCCACTGCCGTGTCCCTGCTCCTCACCTCCAGCCTCCCGTTACTGTGTCCCTGTCCCCCATCTCCTCCTCCCCGTTACTATGTCCCCATTCATCTCCACCTTCCCATTACTGTGTCCCTGTCCCCCATCTCCTCCTCCCCGTTACTGTGTCCCCATCCATCTCCACCTTCCCACTGCCGTGTCCCTGCTCCTCACCTCCAGCCTCCCGTTACTGTGTCCCTGTACCCCATCTCCACCTCCCATTACTGTGTCCTCATTCATCTCCACCTCTGTTACTGTGTCCTTGTCCCTCATCTCCACCTTCCCGTTGCTGTGTCCCTACTCTTCATCTCCTCCTCCCCGTTACTGTGTCCCTGTCCCCCATCTCCTTCTCCCAGTTACCGTGTCCCCATTCATCTCCACCTCCCCAGTGCCGTGTCCCCACTCCTCACCTCCACCTCCCATTACTGCGTCCCTGCTCCTCATCTCCAGGTCCCGTTACTGTGTCCCTGCTCATCTCCACCTCCCCAGTGCCGTGTCCCCTCCTCACCTCCAGCCTGCCGTTGCTCCTGCCAGCCACGATGAGGTTGCCCTGCAGCTCCAGGCTCCAGATGGAGCTCTCCAGGTCTCCTCCCCAGGACTGCGGGGGTGAGGACCTGTCGCAGCCGGCGCAGGGCTCGTCCCCGGGGCTGCGGTCCCCGAGGCCGCGCTCGTCAGGGCCGTGCGGGGCCGAGAGCCCCGGGAAGGTGCCGTTCCTGCCGCCGGCGCTGCCGTGCTCCTCGTACACCTTCCCAACCAGGCTGCTGAAGTCGTAGCCCGAGTCCCTGTGGCGAGCGCCCACGGCGCGCAGCCGCGGCTCGGATGCGGCTGTCCCGGCGCGCTCCAGGAAATTGGTGTCGATGAGGGAGCTGAGGTCGGGCTGGTCGCAGAACAGGGGGGGCTGGGGGGGCCCCAGCAGCCGCTTCAGCTGCTGGCTGCTCTCCAAGGAGTCCTCCAGCCCGTTCTTGCTGTCCGGGCTGGGATCCCAGCCCTCCTGGTAGTCGAAGATGCTGCTGCTGTCCCTGCGCAGCCTGCAAGGAGGGACAGAGCTCAGCAGCTCGGGGGTGGCTCCTGCCTGGGGCCAGGGGCTGTGGGGACAGGGACAGGGACAGGGACAGGGACAGGGACAGGGCCATGCCTGGGTTTGGGGATCACAGGGCTGTGGGGCTGTGGGGACAGGGACATACCTGGGTTTGGGGAGCACAGGGATGTGGGGACAGGGACAGGGCCATGCCTGGGCTTGGGGAGCAGGGGCTGTGGGGACAGGGACAGGGACAGGGCCATGCCTGGGTTTGGGGGAGCACTGGGCCATGAGGACAGGGACATACTTGGGTTTGGGGAGCACAGGGATGTGGGGACAGGGACAGGGCCATGCCTGGGCTTGGGGAGCATGGGGCCATGGGGCTGTGGGGACAGGGCCATACCTGGATTTGGGGAGCAGGGGCTGTGGGGACAGGAACAGGGCCATACCTGGGCTTGGGGAGCACAGGGCTGTGGGGCTGTGGGGCCAGGGCATACCTGGGCTTGGGGATGACGGTGAGGCAGTCGCCCGTCTGCGCGTCCCACACGCGGATCTGCCCCACCAGGCAGCAGCTCACCAGCAGCATCCCGTCACTGGCCAGGCACTCGATGTCCTGGGAGGGAGGGAGGACAACCACAGCTCAGGGTGGCACCACCAAGGCCTCTGGATCTGCCCACAGCCTGCTGTGGCTGCAGAACTGCACAGAAGATGGATTTTAGGTCAAAACTGGCTGGTTTAGGAACTGAGGGACGCTGAACACGTGGACATCCCTGGAAGGGTCCGAGGGCAGGTTGGATGGGGCTGGGAGCAACCTGGGATAGTGGAAGGTGTCCTTGCCATGGCAGGGGTGGCACCGGATGAGTTTCAAGGTCCCCTTCAACCCAAAGCATCCTGAGATTCCAGGATCTCTGCCCGGAGACCTAAGTGTGCACTGGACTGCTGCAAACCCAACAGACCTCATCTTGTCTTGCCTCCCCTAAAAAATTCCATCCCAGATTGAAGGCGGGCTGAGGAGCAGAGACACAGCTTATCTGGGAGACACAGTGCAGCACTGCAAACTCGCCTGTCTGAATGCCCAAGAGCTTTGCTTCCTCTCAGAACAGGAGGAATCCCAGGCTGGAAAAGCCCTCCTGGACCACAGGGTCACAGTGTGACTGATCCCCAGCCTGTCACCCAGCACAGAGCACCAAGTGCCACATCCAGCCGTCCCTGGGAGCTCAGCAAGGTGCAGATACCCCAGCAGAGCCGCAGACAGCAAGCCCCAGGAGGAGAAGGAAACACCCTGCGGGAATTTCACGCTCCGATAACCTTTCCTCACTCCTTACCCCTGAGCTGGACCTACCATGAGGTGCCCCCTGAGGACCAGGGGCACGATCTCGGTCTCGGGGGGGGAGTAGCCGTAGTCATCACAGGGCAGGTCGCCCCTGCGGCGCCGGCCCGGCCCGTTCTGCCCGTAGTTCTTGGGGCACAGCACCCGGTAGAGGCAGAACAGCAGCAGCACCAGCAGCATGCCTGATGCCAGGCCCAGAGCGGCCACCCTGCGGGACACACACACACACACCAAGGCAAGAAGGTAAGAAAATAAACCCCTATAAATGCACTCCGGTTTCTAGCCCACGGATAGATTTGGGAAGCCTTGTGCCAGGATTACTCATGTGCTGGTTTGAATTTCTCAGCTGAGGAAGCTTTTCAACAAATTACAGAGATTTGTTGGAAATTAAGGGGGGGTTAATGGGAAAATGACAATTTCGACAAGATTTTTGAGGTTTTTCAGTAAGGAAAGTAATGAGCAACTAAGGTTTTAAGAAAACACCAGCTGGGGACTGGGATAACACAGTGTGCTCAGCACTTGCAGATTCAGGCAGGGGTTGTGAGATGTTCTCTCCACAGAGAGGGAAGTTCCTTGCAGCAGAGTTTGATCTAACCCCCAGTAAATCATTACCAAATTATATCCAGGTGGTGGCTGCCCCTGGATCCCTGGCAGTGTCCAAGGCCAGGCTGGATGGGGCTTGGAGCACCCTGGGATGGTTGGGAGGTGTCCCTGCCCATGGCATAGGGTGGGACTGGATTTGTTTTAAGGTCCCTTCCACCCAAACCCTTCTGGGGTTCTATGAAATCGCATTTAAACCCCCAAATTGACCTTCTGTCCTTATCACCCCGTGGTCATCCCCTATTGCCCGGGAGCACAGAGGGCCTCCATGCAGCTGCCCATCCTGCTGATGGAAAGCTGCCAGGAGACACCGATCCCACCCAGCAGGGAGCATCCCCAGCTTTGGCACTGGGGCCTCGGGAGCTTTGCAGCCCCGAGCAGCCCCCGGGGCCCTGGGGACACGTTACTTGTAGAGGGTGACGTCCTGGTGGGCGCGGGGCTGCGCGGGGCGCTCGGGCGGGGTGCCAGGCTCGGCCAGGAAGGGCTGGTAGCGAGAGGCCTCCTGCGGGTGCCGCAGCTCCAGGGCCTCCTGAGGCTTCAGGTACAGCGTGACGGGGATGGCCGGCAGGATGCTGATGTACCTGAGGGGCACAGGGACAACGGCTCAGAACACACGAGGGGACAGCCACAGCAGGAACCAGGCTGCTTTCGGTGCTGCTCTGAACTCCTTGGAAGGATCTCCTCGGAAACAGTCTCCTCTAAAGTTATTCCCCAGGTTATAACCCTTCAAAGAGCCAAAAGAAATGCAGTCCTGGTGAGATCATGGATTTAAGTCTAGTTTCCTGTGTGCTGCAGGCTTGGAGGTCTCACCAAGAAGCTTCTTCAGCTCAGCTGTCTCTTCCTCACGTGTACTATTTCCATGCCTTGCAGATGATTGTATCAGACAATTGTGGAATTACTGAGGCTGCAAAAGCCACTTTCTCTGACACCATCAGGTCTGAGTACCCCCCCTTGTGCTGCCAAGGCCACCACTAACCTATGTCCCCAAACCCCACATTCACACAGCTTTCAAATCCCCCCAGGGATGGGGACTCCACCACTGCCCTGAGCAGCTGTGCCAGGGCCAGACAACCCTTTTGGGGAAGGATTCTTCCCTATATCCACTGTGACCCTCCCCTGGGAACACTGGAGACCGTTCCCTCTCCTCCTGTCCCTGTTCCCCAGGCTGTCCCCTCCTGTCAGGAGCTGTGCAGAGCCACAAGGTCCCCCCTGAGCCTCCTTTCCTTGCTTTGCAAAATCTCAAACTTCGCTTCCAGGCTCAAGGAAGGCACAAGACACCCAGCACATACAACAGCCAGGAGCACAGAGTGAAACAACCCTGATTACCAGAGGAACAGCCCCAGGAGCTCACCCAGGGCACCTGCCCAGCAGCTCCTCCTGGCAGAGCTGGAATGAGCCCCATGGAAGCAGGGAGCACGGGGCACCAAGGACAGAAGCAGGACAAACCCTTGGGGTCAGCTGCCCAGATCCCAGTGCCAGCAGCACTCCGTGCCAGCCCACTTGCCTCTTGGCCAGGGTGATGTTGTAGTAGCTGAAGAGGGCTGGCCAGTGCCTGAAGGAAAGCTTCCTCCACATCTCCTCATCCTCTGCTCCCCAGGTAACCTCTGCTTCTGCTCCCAGCTCCAGCTGCCCGTTCTCTCTGCCCTCGGGCCCCCGTGCCCAGCTGTGCTGGTCGGGCTCCAGCCCCGCCTGCTGCTCCCACTGCTGCTGTGTCTGGTTCTCCGACAGCTGCACCGGCTCCGACGGGAACACCGACAGGTCCACCTTGGGATCCCCAGCGGGCAGGACCCCTCCAGGAACGGGCATGGCAGGCAGGCCTGCGTCCCCCAGGGGGCTCTGCTCGGTGACCTGGGACGTGAGGTAGGTGCGGAGCCCGGCGGGATCCGTGTAAACCAGGATTCCGATCCAGATCACTGTGCCGGCCTGTGCAGGAGGAGCAGAGAGAGACAGGGCTGCCTTCAGTGCCACCACTCTGTCCCCTGTCCTGTGTGAGCAGGAGGAGCAGAGAGAGACACGGCTGCCTTCAGTGCCACCACTCTGTCCCCTGTCCCTGTTTGAGCAGGAGGGGCAGAGACACATCTCCCTTCAGTGCCACCATCCTGTCCCCTGCCCTGCCTGAGCAGGAGGGGCAGTGCCACCACCCTGTCCCCTGCCTGAGCAGGATGAGCAGACACACATCTCCCTTCAGTGCCACCGCCCTGTCCCCTGTTTGAGCAGGATGAGCAGACACACATCTCCCTTCAGTGCCACCGCCCTGTCCCCTGCCTGAGCTGGCCCACAGCACCCCAACCACAGGTACCCCCCGTTTCCTGCAGCCTCCCTCCCAGCCCTGCTCCGTGGGGGAGATTTGCAGCACTGCCCAGCACACACAGAACCTGGACACCACTTTTCTGTGACCCAGCACACACAGAACCTGGACACCACTTTTCTGTCATCCACGTGATGGTCAGAACCCAAATTCTCTCCCCAAACGTGCAGCAGGAGGAGACTCGGGGCTGGCAGCTGGGACTGGCACATCTGGACTCCAAGCAGGGATGGAAATTTGGGATTTTGGATCCACGCTTGTGCAGGACCCACTGCTCTGGGACCGTGTGGGGATTGAACTTAGACTGCCCGTGCTGGGAACAGAGAGATCCCTGTAATTCCACTAGAGACACCCAAAACAGAGACAGAGGGGAAAAGCAGGAGCAGAGCTGGTGTGGCTGCAGCAGCTGTAAATATTGAATCCTTGAGCAAAATGTCTCCCAAATGCCTTTAGTCCATGTATGCAGAACAAACTGACTTTGTAAAATCATCTCCAGACTCAGGCAGCCTGGGCAATCTGCTTCTGCATCCCACGGGGCAGCGCCAGACTCGCGTGGGAAGCAGCACACGGAGGTGTGTCACACCTGGTGGGGGTGGGGGGCTGGCAGGGTGGGCAGGGGTGCCAGCCTGGTGGAGGTGGGTGCCTGGCAGGGCTGCCAGCCTGGCTGTTTGGGTGTCAGTCTGGTTGTTTGGGTGTGAGTCTGGCTGTTGGGATGCCAGCCTGGCTGTTGGGGTGCCAGTCTGGCTGTTGGAGTGTCAGTCTGGCTATTTGGGTGCCAGCCTGGCTGTTTGGGTGCCAGCCTGGCTATTTGGGTGCCAGCCTGGCTGTTTGGGTGTCAGTCTGGCTATTTGGGTGTCAGCCTGGCTATTTGGGTGTCAGCCTGGCTGTTTGGGTGCCAGTCTGGCTATTTAGGTGCCAGCCTGGCTGTTGGGGTGCCAGCCTGGCTATTTGGGTGCCAGCCTGGCTATTTGGGGTGCCAGTCTGGCTGTTTGGGTACCAGCCTGGCTGTTTGGGTACCAGCCTGGCTGTTTGGGTGTCAGCCTGGCTATTTGGGTGTCAGTCTGGCTATTTGGGTGCCAGCCTGGCTGTTGGGGTGCCAGTCTGGCTGTTTGGGTGTCAGTCTGGCTATTTGGGTGTCAGCCTGGCTGTTTGGGTGCCAGTCTGGCTGTTTGGGTGTCAGTCTGGTGGAGGTGGGTGCCAGCCTGGCTGTTGGGGTGCCAGCCTGGCTGTTCAGGTGCCCAGTGGGGCAGTCTGGGTGCCATCCCAACCATCTGGTTGCCATCCCATTGGTCTGGTTGCCATCCCACCGGTCTGGTTGTCTGTCATCCTGGCTGCCTGGCTGCCATCCCAGTGCTCTGGCTGCCACCCCGGCTGCCTGGCTGCCATCCCACCACTCTAGGTGCCATCCCATGACTTTGGGTGCCATCCCAGCGCTCTGGGTACCATCCCACGACTTTGGGTGCCATCCCAACCATCTGGTTGCTATCCCATTGGTCTGGTTGCCATCCCGTCTGCCTGGGTACCATCCCACCGCTCTGGGTGCCATCCCAGCATCCTGGGTGCCATCCCACCAGCTTGGTTGCCATCCCACCACTCTAGGTGCCATCCCACCGCTCTGGGTGCCATCCCAGCTGCCTGGTTGCCACCCCAGCCCTCTGGGTGCCATCCCACCACTCTGTCTGCCCCCCCAGCTCTCTGGCTGCCCCCCAGCTCTCTGTCTGCCCCCCGTCTCTCCGTGTGCCCCCCATCTCCCCGGCTGCCCCACGTACCATGATGAGGCGCTGGGCCAGGCGGGTGCGGGCGAAGAAGTAGATGACGCGCAGGCGCTTGGGCAGGCGCAGGTTGCGCAGCGAGGAGGGCTGCAGGGTGATGGTGTGCGGCGTGTGCGGCGCGTGCGGCACCGCCGGGCGCAGCGCTGCCGCCCGGGCCCGGCACGGCGCCTTGGCCAGGCACGACTCGGCGGGCAGCCGCTTGTTCAGGTCAGCCAGCTGCAACAGGGACAGGGAGCAGGGCCTGAGCCTCCCCTGGCGGGGGATTCTTGCCCCTGGGGGCTCCTGCCAGCCCACCGACCCCAGGCAGCACATTGCAGACTTGGAACCACGGAATGGTTGGCATGGGAGGGACCTTAAAGCCCACCCAGTGCCACCCCTGCCACGGCAGGGACACTCCCACTGTCCCAGGCTGCTCCCAGCCCTGTCCTGACACTGCCAGGGATCCAGGGACAGCCACAGCTGCCAGGGCTGCCCACCCTCAGAGAGGAGAAATTCCTCCTAATGTCCAACATAAACCTTTTTTCTATCAGTTTGAAGACATTCCCCCTTAAACTGTACAACATCTCTCTCCATGTTTCTTGTGGGCTCCCCTCAGGTCCTGGAAGGTCACAGGTAGGTCTCTAAGCTTTCCTTCTCCAGGCTGAGTTATCCCAGTTCTGTCAGCCTCTCCTCACAGCAGAGCTGCTCCATCCCTCCAATCAACTTGACACCTCCCCACAGCTCCACGTCCTTCCTAAGAGTGTCTTTTCCCTCAAGTGCTGTTCCCATCCCCTGAGTGTGCAACCAAGCGAGTACAGAACCAGAACCTCAACAGCTCAGGATGAGAGGAAACAGCCCCAAGCTGACCAGAGGATGTTCAGGTTAAATATTGGGAAAAACTGTTCCTGGAATGGGCTGTCCAGCCCTGGCCCAGCTGCCCAGAGCAGGGGAGATCCTCATCCCTGGGGGGATTTAACAGGCATGTGGGTGTGGCACATGGGGACAAGGGTCAGTGACAGCCATGGGGACACGGGTCAGTGACAGCCATGGGGACACGGGTCAGTGACAGCCACATGGATGTGACACCTGGGGACACGGCTCAGTGACAGCCTTGGGGACACGGCTCAGTGACAGCCGTGGGGACATGGGTCAGTGACAGCCTTGTGGATGTGGCACCTGGGGACACGGGTCAGTGATAGCCATGGGGACACGGGTCAGTGACAGCCATGGGGACACAGGTCAGTGACAGCCACGGGGATGTGGCACCTGGGGACACGGGTCAGTGACAGCCATGGGGACATGGGTCAGTGACAGCCATGTGGGTGTGGCACCTGGGGACACGGGTCAGTGACAGCCATGGGGACACAGGTCAGTGACAGCCATGTGGGTGTGGCACATGGGGACACGGGTCAGTGACAGCCATGGGGACACGGGTCAGTGACAGCCATGGGGACACAGGTCAGTGACAGTCACGTGGATGTGGCACCTGGGGACACGGGTCAGTGACAGCCATGGGGATGTGGCACCTGGGGACACGGGTCAGTGACAGCCATGTGGACACAGGTCATTGACAGCCATGGGGACATGGGTCAGTGACAGTCACGTGGATGTGGCACCTGGGGACACAGGTCAGTGACAGCCATGGGGATGTGGCACCTGGGGACACGGGTCAGTGACAGCCATGGGGACACGGGTCAGTGACAGCCATGGGGATGTGGCACCTGGGGACATGGCTCAGTGACAGCCATGTGAATGTGGCACCTGGGGACACGGGTCAGTGACAGCCATGTGGACACAGGTCAGTGACAGCCATGGGGACATGGGTCAGTGACAGTCACGTGGATGTGGCACCTGGGGACACAGGTCAGTGACAGCCATGGGGATGTGGCACCTGGGGACACGGGTCAGTGACAGCCATGGGGACATGGGTCAGTGACAGCCATGGGGACACAGGTCAGTGACAGCCATGTGAATATGGCACCCGGGGACACGGCTCAGGGGTGAGCACAGGGGTGGTGCTGGGGAATGGTGGAATCCATGATTTTGGAGGCCCTTCGAAGCTCAGTGAATCTGTGACCCTGCTCTGTCCCTCGCTGGGGAGTGGGTGCTGGCTGTGCCCCTCCTGCCCCGGCCCTGCCCCGTGCCCACCTCCATGCGGCGGATGTCGATGGACAGCACCGTGGTGAAGAAGAACATCTGCAGGAAGAAGTCTGACACCAGCCCCACCACGGCGAAGAGGCAGAACTCCTGGGGGTGGGACACAGGATTAGCTCCCACTGCACCTCAGAACCAGGGACACCCAGCAGTGCCTCGTGGCAAACCCCCTGATCCTCCTCCTGTGCTGCCTCAGAGCTCAGGGCTGGTGAGTGACAATCCAAGGATATTCACTCTAATTCACATTCTCTGCTCTTTTTGGCCACAATTCACCAAAACCCTGCGACTCTGCTCCCAGAGAACAAGGGGCAGGATGAGAGGAAAAGGCCTCAGGTTGTGGCAGGGGAGATTTAGATTGGAAATGATGGAAAATTTCTTCCCCAGAAGGGGCTGTTAGGCACTGGAAGTGCCCAGGGCAGGGGTGCAGTCCCCGTGCCCAGAGGGATTTAACAGCTGTGTGGCTGTGGCACTGGGGACACAGGTCAGTGGTGGCCTTGGCAGTGCTGGGGAACAGTTGGACTTGGTGGTCTCCAAGGCTTTTCCAAGCCAGCAATTCCCTGACTCTGCCCCTGCAGGGTCAGGCTCTGTCCTGCCAGCCCCCCTCACCTGGATGGCCGGGACCAGGGTGAAGTACCCGATGAGGATGATCCCCAGCTCCGTTGCCATGTTCTTCATGATGGACCAGCTCTCATTGCTCAGGCCTGGGGAAGGGCAAGGACAGCTCAGGGCAGCCTCTTCGCTGTGCCAGACACGAACACAGCAAAAGGAGCAGCATTTCCCCTCTCTAAACCCAGGAATTTACAGGCAACAGGCCAAAAAGGCCCTTCCAGGCTAAAATTCATGGATGTGAGTTCTGGGTCGTTTCCCACCTAGGATCCAAACCACTGGTATTTTTAAAGCTAAAATCAGCATCGCTCTAGAATCTCTTCTCCCTGATGTTTAGAAACAGCTTTGAAGATTGCAAATCCCATTTATCCACGGTGTGAGCACACTCAAATCCTTCCACAGGCACAGAGCATTTATAGAATGGAAAAGAGAATTTTGTCACACGTTCAGGGGGATTTTGTAGGACCTGTGTTCTGCACTTCTGACATCCATGACCTGAGCACAGCGCTCAGTATCCACACCAGGAGATCCATCTCTCATCTACTAATATTTTAAAATATTTATTTAGCCTGTTTCAGCCAACAATCCCAACAAACAGAGCCCACAACAACAGCATTATGTTCTTGGAATTGCAAACAAAAGCTGCACCACTCACCTTGTTTCCTTCCCAGACCTGAATGGGACCATTCCCCCTCTCCCAGCCCCTGGCTCTCCCCACTTCTCCCTCCCTGCAGGATCCCACCTTGGGCGATGCGGAGCTTCACCTCCAGGTCCACGGGCGTGGACACGACGGACTTGGTGAGCACCAGCACGTTCTCCAGGCCAATCACCACCACCAGGTACGGGAATATCTCTCTGGAGGAAACAGAGGCACAGCTGAGGAGGAGATCCGTGGGGAAAGGAAAGAGGCAAGTCTGGAGCAAACACAGCCCTGGGAGTCAGGTGGGGTGAGGAGACACCACCCTGTGCCCCAATCCCTTCCCTCAGCGTCGCACTGCACACTGAAAAGGTTTGTGCTTGCTCTGCCTTGGGCAGAAATCACCATTTTTGGAAAGCTGCAGGAATTCCTGGGAAACGCCCATTGTGGAGCAGCACTAAATTAATCTTGGTGCTTCCCAGGGACAGAGCTCTCTCCTCTCCAGCATCAGGCACAGCAACAGGGATGGACCTGGACCACCCTGTGAGGGACTGGGGGTGGCTGCTCACTCATCAGAGGGGCAGGGAGCGTGTCCCACCTCCTTTAAGGATCACCCAGTGCCACCCCATGCCACCTCCCACTGTGCCAGGAGCTCCCAGCCCTGTCCAACCTGGCCTTGGGCACTGCCAGGGATCCAGGGGCAGCCACAGCTGCTCTGGGAATTCCATCCCAGTCCCTCACAGGGAAGGGTTTCTTCTGTCTATCTCACCTAAAGTTTCCCTCTTTCAGTTTGAACCATTGCTCCTTGTCCTATCACTGTAGTTCCTGATGAAGAATCCCTCCCCAGCTTCCTGTGGGCTCCCTCAGCCACTGCAAGGGGGGAATGCCAGTGAATGTCCACAGTGAGGGAAAAAGCACCAACACAGATCAGCCTCTCGTGGGCAGCTTCTTGCTCGTGCCCAAGGATCCAAAATTCAGCAAGAGCAACTCAGGCCTGCCTTTAACGAAAGCATTTTCAGCTGATAACCCCCGTGAGCCCTGCAGGCAGCACCAGGACAAGCAGAGAGGGGAGATGAGCTCCTTGGGGACCTCTGAACAGACAGAACGGAGCTCCTGCAGGAGGAGGCTGTGGCAGATCCTGCTCAGCTCCAGGGATAACGTGTTATCCCAGCAATTCCTCCTGCTCCGGGCACCCAGAAGCTCAGGATAAGGAATGTCCAGCAGGTCTGGCAGCGGAGGAACACATCCCCAGCAGGGAATGCCCAGGCTGGGCTGGCACCTACCCGCCGTTGAGCGTGGGCGTGAGGCCGAAGAGCGTGCAGAGCCCCACGGACATGAGCAGGGAGCTGAGCACCGTCACCACCGCCGCCAGCGCCAGCCCCCACTTGGACTTCACCATGTCGATCTTGCCTGCAAAACAGCCCCAGCAGGTCACAGGGACAGCACAGGGGATGGGCACGGGGGGGGACACATGGGGGACACAGCTGGGGACACAGGGGGGACACAGGGGGGGACCACACGCTCGTCCTGACCAGCCCCAGCAGGTCACAGGGACAGCACAAGGGGGGACACAGGGGGGGACACAGCTGGGGACACAGGGGGGACACAGTGGGGACACAGGGGGGGACATGGGGGGGACACAGGGGGGGACATGGGGGGACACAGAGGGGACACAGCTGGAGACACAGGGGGGGACACAGGGGGGACACAGGGGGGGACACAGGGGGGACATGGGGGGGACACAGCTGGGGACACGGGGGGGGCCACACGCTCGTCCTGCCCAGCCCCAGCAGGTCACAGGGACAGCACAGGGGATGGGCACGGGGGAGACACAGCTGGGGACACAGCTGGGGACACAGGGGGGGACATGGGGGGACACAGGGGGAGACACAGGGGGGACACAGGGGGGACACAGGGGGGGACACAGGGGGGACACAGCTGGGGACATGGGGGGGGACACAGGGGGGACACAGGGGGGACACAGGGGGGACACAGCTGGGGACACAGGGTGGGACACAGGGGGGACACGAGGGGGACACAGGGGGGGACACAGGGGGGGACATGGGGGGGACACAGGGGGGGACACAGCTGGGGACACAGGGGGGGACACGAGGGGGACACAGGGGGGAAACAGGAGGGGACACAGCTGGGGACCACACGCTCGTCCTGCCCAGCCCCAGCAGGTCACAGGAGATCCCCAGCCCAGAGGGAAGGTGCTGCAGTGCTCGTGTCTGAAATGCAGCTCCCTCAGCCTCCCGGGACAAGGTGGGACAGGGGACAGTGCTGGTTCACAGCTCACAGCAGTCCCAGCACTGCACCGAGGGGGGAAAAGCCAAACTGAAATGTGGCCAGAGAGGTGTAAACCCTGCAGCTCAGAACATGTGTCTGATCTGTCTCATTCCTGTGGCATCTAAGGGTGCACAAGGCAGAAAACACCTTGGAGGATGTAAAAGAATCGTGGAATAGTTTGGGTTGGAAGGGACTTTAAAGATTGTCCCGTTTCCCCCCCTGCCATGGAAAGGGACCTCCCACTATCCCAGGCCTTGGACACTTCCAGGGATGGGGAAACACCTTCACAAGGAATAACAGCACACTGGCTGAGAGGGGCAAACAGTTCCTAATTCCCTCCCTGCCAGCCCAGGGCAGAATTCCCACACCCCCTGTCCTGCTGGAAGGGTGGGAAGCGCAGTGGTGCTGCAGACAGGAGCCTGCACCCCAGACCTACGTGTGGAGAAGTAGATGTAGGCGAAGAGGATGATGTAGGTGGTGACCAGCGGGATGAGCTCGGCGATGCCGATCTCCTCCTTGAAGTGCACGTGGACCACGCTCTCCTCCCGCAGGCTGCAGTTGGGGCTGGGGTGCAGCAGCTTCAGGCGGGAGCGCAGGCTGCTCAGGAACCTGGGGAACAGCAGCACTCGCTCAGCCTGCCCCAGGAAAAGCTGGCAGCTCCTGCAGGAGCACAGCACCAGGCAGCTCTGGGGGTTAACATGGACCAGCAAAGCAGGGCTCGCTCCAGGCCTTCCTCCCAAGCCTCTCCTTGCTGGCCCCAACCATCCAAACCCTGATTTCTACCAAGCTCTGCTGGGCAAAACTCTGTTTAAAGCAAAGGCTCGATAAGCACAGTCTGGGCCTGTGGGACAGAGCACGCCACAGCCTCAAACACTCCCAGAATTTTGCCAGAATTACAGAATTCTGTGTAAAAATGGCTGATGGAAAGCGCCACACAATGGCCCTCAGGGCTCAATGCTGTGGAAGAGGAGGTTTAAACTCCATTCCAGCATCCCGTGGGGAATTCTGTGCAGCTCAGAGTCCTCAGATCCACTGGATCCACGCCAGTTTGCCCAACACTGCCAAAGTGCTTTCAGCAGGTGAACCAGTGCTTACTGGAAAGCAAACCAGTCTGTGTACAGTGGGTCAGAGCACAGCCATGGGCCCTGGCTGCCACAGAACTCCCCCTGGCAGCTCTGGATGCCACAGGCACCGCTTGTGAAGAGGAGCTGAGAACTGAGGGAAGTTCATTGCCATAAAACACAACAAGCTCTCTGCCCAGAAAAGCAGAGATGTGAGACACCCTGAAGCAGGAGGAGATGGAGGGCAGAGAGAACAGCAGGGGAAGCAGCAGCTGTGGCAGAGCAGGGCTCACCTGGAGTCGTAGCGCTGCAGCCCCAGGGTGACGGTGTAGGACACCACGCGGCGCCGGTTGTACAGGCTGACCCCGCTGTACCTGCCGGGCAGCCCGAAGAGCAGGTCTGCAGAGACAGGGACAGGGTGCCATCAGGGAACAGCACCCAGGGGTGCTCCCTGCCAGCAGCACCAGCAGGAATCCCCTCTCCCGTCCCTGTTCCTGTCCCTGCTGCCATCCCTGCTCCCATCCCTGCTCCCATCCCCTCTCCCATCACTGCTCCCATCCCTGCTGCCATCCCCGATCCCATCCCTGATCCCGTCCCTGCTCCCATCCCTGCTCCTATCCCTGTTCTTGTCTCTGATCCCCTCCTCTCTCCCGTCCCTGCTGCCATCCCTGCTGCCATCCCTGCTCCTATCACTGCTCCCATCCCTGCTCCTGTCTCTAATCCTGTCCCTGCTCCTGTCTCTGCTCCTGTCCCTGCTCCTGTCCCTGCTCCCATCCCCTCTCCCATCCCTGCTCCCGTCCCTGCTGCCATCCCTGTTCCCATCCCTGCTCCTGTCTCTGATCCTGTCCCTGTTCCCATCCCTGCTCCCATCCCCTCTCCCATCCCCTCTCCAGTTCCTGCTCCCCTCCCTGCTGCCATCCCTGCTCCCATCCCTGTTCCCGTCCCCTTTCCCGTCCCCTCTCCCATCCCCTCTCCAGTTCCTGCTCCCATCCCCTCTCCCATCCCTGCTCCCATCCCTGTTCCCGTCCCCTCTCCCATCCCGCTCCCATCCCGTGGGGTATCCCGCACTCCCGAGCTCCGGGCAGACCCCATGGACGGAGTCCCACCGAGCTCACAGGCTGCATGTTCAAAAACAACCTTTAAAGCAAACTTCCTTTAGGGTTACGAGCCCCTTTTCGGATGTGTGATGCGGTACATCACACACTGCCAGATCTCTGACGTTCCTTTAAAAGCAAAGGATCCAGCCTGGGTTTAAAGCAGCATTTCCTCTGGCATTATGGAATCACTAATGATCCCATTTCCTCTGGCATTATGGAATCACTAATGATCCCATTTCCTCTGGCATTATGGAATCACTAATGATCCCATTTCCTCTGGCGTTATGGAATCACTAATGATCCCATTTCGGCATTATGGAATCACTAATGATCCCATTTCCTCTGGCATTATGGAATCACTAATGATCCCATTTCGGCATTATGGAATCACTAATGATCCCACTTCCTCTGGCATTATGGAATCACTAATGATCCCATTTCCTCTGGCGTTATGGAATCACTAATGATCCCATTTCCTCTGGCATTATGGAATCACTGATGATCCCATTTCCTCTGGCGTTATGGAATCACTAATGATCCCATTTCCTCTGGCGTTATGGAATCACTAATGATCCCATTTCCTCTGGCATTAGGAATCACTAATGATCCCACTTCCTTTGGCATTATGGAATCACTAATGATCCCATTTCCTCTGGCATTATGGAATCACTAATGATCCCATTTCCTCTGGCATTATGGAATCACTAATGATCCCATTTCCTCTGGCATTATGGAATCACTAATGATCCCATTTCCTCTGGCATTAGGAATCACTGATGATCCCATTTCCTCTGGCGTTATGGAATCACTAATGATCCCATTTCCTCTGGCGTTATGGAATCACTAATGATCCCATTTCCTCTGGCATTAGGAATCACTAATGATCCCATTTCCTCTGGCATTATGGAATCACTAATGATCCCATTTCCTCTGGCATTATGGAATCACTAATGATCCCATTTCCTCTGGCACTATGGAATCACTAATGATCCCATTTCCTCTGGCATTATGGAATCACTAATGATCCCATTTCCTCTGGCATTATGGAATCACTAATGATTTCATACACGGTCAAAGGGTTTCTTTATAGTTAAGAGATAAAAATAGTTGTATGATACCCATTGTCAGCTCGGGCTGTGTGCAAGGAATTAGAACAAACACTGGAGCAGGATGAATGTTGATTTATCTGTGACAATGACACAGCCTTTGAGTGCGACAGAGGGAAAAGCCAGGCTGGAGCATGGAGTGAGAGGAACAAAACCCTGCTATTTTTGCCTGCAGAAAGAAGCCTGACTGAGTGATTTGTTCACCTCTCACAAATACAGATCAGGGCTCCAATACACATATGAAATGAGAGACAACAAAGACTGGGCACCTTCGGCTGCTGTGAACAAAAAAATACTGCTCAAATTGCCACTATCAGCAATCCAGGCGCTGGAATTAGTGAGGATGGAATAACAATGAAGCTGTAGGCAACTCTCAGCTTCCCTGGCTCTGCAGCCCCTCACCTTTGAGAGTGGCTGACGTCTGCAAGGTCTTTGGTTCATGCTGGTGGATGGTTTTGATGATATCTGGGTCGGCGTTGAAGCGCTCGCGGTCGTTCTGCCAGAAGTTGCCCGGGGACAGCAGCAGGCAGCCGTGCTCTGGGAGCAGATTCCGCAGCTTCCTGAGGCCGGGCAGCAGGTCTGTCACCTGCAGGCAAACCTCCTCCAGGCTCCTGACCCCGGAGCTGAAAGGCAAACACAGCCCTGTGGGACGCAGCCGGCAGAGCAGAAGGTCCCTGGGACCTGCAGCGGGGTGGCTGCTCTGCTCCTCACAGCTGAGAGCAAAACTGGGGCTCCTGGAGCTGCCAACAGCTCCAGAACCCCATCACCATTCCTGGGGGCTCCTGGCCCCACAGCTCTTGCTCCTCGCCCATCTCCCGTACCACACTTTCACTTCCACAGTTAAGTCACTACCCCCGGACAGAGAAACTCGCTGGAATTCTTCCAGCCCTCAAACCTGTGGGGATCCAGAGTTTCCCTCTGGCTGCCCTGGGACCCTGGCAGGGGTCAGGAACCCCCATGGACAGAGCCCCCAGAGACACTGGCTGTGATCTCTGTCCATGGAGAAGAGTTTTCAATCTTACAGGATGAATTACCAGCTCTGAGTGTTTGATATCAGTAATAATTAAGTGTGACACAGGTGCAAAAGTAAAATTTTAGGATTCTAGATTAGGGGTTCAGAGGGGACAAGATGGAGGAAATTGGGTGTGCCTTGTCCTTTTTCTCCTTCTTCATGCCCTCCATGTTTCACTGTGGTGTTGGCATTTTTCTGTTGGTTCAGGCTGGGGACACACTGTCCAACGTAGGTGACAGATATTGGCACGTTATTGTAAATCCAGCACAGGTAGTTTGTGGTATTTAATGTTTGTACCATCCCACTGAGGGCAGAGCCCCACACGCTGCCCTGCAGGACAGAGCTGCGGCAGGGCAGCAGAACATGTTAGAGATAAACAGAATAAACAACCTTGAAACCAGCACAGAGCAATTATGGCTTCTGCTTTGGCAGCGGGGCTGACAGACAGAGACTTTCTACAATCTGGGAATCATCAATACCTCAGATTCTGACAAAATTGGTGTCCCTGGGTGGGGACCACATATTTTCCAGTGGCCTTCCTCCAGCTGGAGTGATGCTCCTTCTGGAAGGAATGACAGTCCAAATCTACACAGTGGTAAAACCTTGGTCAGCATCGTTAAGGTACTAGAGCATTTGAGCTTTCAATTGTTTGGATTAGTATCTGCTTGTGGTTTGTCCCAGTAGTTTTGCAGTGTATCTGAGTTATTGCTTTGGAATGTTCTAGTGTCTTCAGATTGTCACAGGGGGTGGAAAAGATTTCCCCCTGAATGTAACTTGAATTTTTGTATGATTCTGGGATCAGTTTTGTCCACCTCTTCCTATCTCCTCGGGGCAAGGTATAAAATTCCCCATTGCAGCGGGTGGGAAGAATTGGAGTTTTGTCTATAACCAGATTGTTCTGTAGCACACACACACTTGGTCAGGTTATTGCAGGTTTTTGGTCAGGTTAGAACTGTCTAACACCTGATATGGTGAGCAAGGACATGAGAAATGCTGAGTTTCACTGAGGAACGCTGGGCTGAGAACCACAAATGGAAGTGTTGGAGTCACTGACCCATCACTGAACTCTTCCAATCACTGAAAATGAAAAATTAACTGCAGGAACCTTTCCTGGATCCTGATTTGCATCCCATCTTTCCTATCATTTTTAACCTCAAGGGGTGGGAAACATCCTGATCTACACAGACTGGTAACAATACAAGTAAAATTATTTGTTTGGGTTGTCCTCAGCTACCATGAACACTCTGGATTTAATGCTATACCTTGCCACTGTAACTGTTTTTTATCAGTAATCATTATATATCTGTATCTACATCTATCTATCTATCTATCTATCTATCTATCTATCTATCTATCTATCTATCTATCTATCTATCTATCACCTATCTATCCATCCCCTGAGCAGGGGGATTTGCTTTGTGGTTACTCCAGGGGCTGAACATTTCCCCATTTCCATGGGAAGCTCCATTTCACTCCCAATCACTTTTTTTTATTCTTTTGCCAGCTTTAACACAGGCACCTCAATATCTGCAGTGTTTATGTTGTGTTGTAATCTACTGGCAGTTTTCTTTTTATACTGGGGAGTGTTTGTGATTAAGATCTTCCATCTGTTATTTCCTGTTGGTTCAATAAACAATTCATTTTATTTATAATTAATAATAATAATAATAAATAATTCATTTTATTTAAAGACACCTCATTTGCCATCACTAGAATATGTGGACCAGAGGGAGTCCTTAGATTTAAAATGTTGCCAAAATTTGAGGCTAAGGCCTGCCTGGCTCTGGCTCTGCACATCACAGGAAGGTGCTTTCAGATGGCAAATTAACTGAAACCTCTGTAAAATCCCTCTCCAGAAGAAATTTCTTCTATAATGACTACAAAGAACGACACAGGAATTCAAAAATGATGATTTGTCTTTGTGAATGCTCTGCATGGCAGGACACCTGGACAAGCCTCAGCTGCCAGAAGAAAGCAATGAAAAATACACCTCCAAAAAATGCTGTTTATAGGGACCAAAGCTTTGGGAGTGAAAATTTGAAGGACCTGACGCAGTGATGGCTCTGGAAAGGGCTCCAGGAAGAGGCAGGTGACCAGGGTTTGTATTTTATCAGCTCTGTAACTGGCAGAGATAACAGCTCATGCTGCAGATAAAGCCAGGGCTGCTCCTCTCTGCCAGGCCACGCTGCCAGCCCCTGTCCCTGTGGGGTGCTGAGGGTGCAGAGTGACACCAACACCCACAGCTGGGGCCAACCACAGTTCCAGGTGTGTGTTTCCTGCCCAGGTACATTTAACAACCTCCAGCTCCCTCCTGGAATATAAAATAATATAAAAGATACACAAAAGAATATAAAATAGAACACAAAACAAGCCAGTTTGCATGTAAAATACATATTTCTGCTCAGCTTTGTTACTGGCAACAAACAAGAAGAACTTCGTAATGACTTTTGAGGTAATTGCAGGATTTATCTCAAAATTAGATGTTTCCTGAAATATCCAAATGCATGCCCAAAATGGTAACCTTGCCCCAAGGTTTAGGTCTAAATGTTGAAGTAAATTTTCTTCTGGTGGTATGAAGAATAATAATAAAAGTAATAATTTTGTTTCTGTGTTGCATCACTGCTCACCAAGGGCAATGCCAAGGGGAGATAATGAGAAGACAATGAGAAGACAAGGGAGATAATGAGAACACAGCACTGGGAGCAGTTGTTTCTGACTGTAACTGGCAACAGATGATTATCCCATAGGATAAGGGAGGAGAGGGACTGAGCACACGCACAGAAGGTCAGTGCCAAGGCTGGGGGAGCTGGCAGGGAGAGGAAAGCTGAGGAAATCTGAAGAGCAAAAATGGCATTTCTAAAACATGACCTCCGAGAGCAGCAGCTGGGGGTGAAGGATGGGTCCCCAAATGGACAAATCATCAGTGAGAGGAGCAGGGTGGTCATTGATCATTTAATAAAAATGATAAATGCAATACCCTTTCTGTTAACAGCACCAAGATCAAGACCCCACTTGGGGGCAAAAAGAGTTTCTGCTCTGAGGTGGGAACTTGTCAGCTGGAAAGGATAGAGGGACACGGGGACATTAAAAAATCACCTCTTAATGTGCAAAACTGATGTGAGTGGCCACGAAAAACAGACTTGTGATGTCAGAGGTGTTCCAGGAAAAGCCTCTCCATGGAAATCACCCCACGGGTGAGACTCCTGACAGTCTGTGCGTGGCTCTGCTCTCCACCCTCGGGAGTGCCACGCTGGCAGCAGTGCCAGCAGCAGCACCCAGGATGGCACACGGAATGCTGAGCCCATCACCTGTGAGACCAGAGTTTTATTTTCACAAACAGGGGGCTGGGCTGGTGTGGGAATCAAGGGCATCCCTCTGGCTGCCCTGGGCCCTGGCAGGGGTCAGGAACCCCCCTGGACAGAGCCCCCAGAGACACTGGCTGTGATCTCTGCCCATGGAAAAGAGTTTTCAATCTTACAGGATCAATTACCAGCTCTGAGTGTTTGATATCAGTAATAATTAAGTGTGGCACGGGTGCAAAAGTAAAATTTTAAGTTTCTAGATTAGGGGTCCAAAGGGGACAAGATGGAGGAAATTGGGTGTGTCTTGTCCTTTTTCTCCTTCTTCATGGCCTCCATGTTTCACTGTGGTGTTGGCATTTTTCTGTTGGTTCAGGCTGGGGACACACTGTCCAACGTAGGTGACAGATATTGGCACGTTATTGTAAATCCAGCACAGGTAGTTTGTGGTATTTAATGTTTGTACCATCCCACTGAGGGCAGAGCCCCACACGCTGCCCTGCAGGACAGAGCTGCGGCAGGGCAGCAGAACATGTTAGAGATAAACAGAATAAACAACCTTGAAACCAGCACAGACCAATTATGGCTTCTGCTTTGGCAGCGGGGCTGACAGACAGAGACTTTCTACAATCTCAGAATCATCAATACCCACAGATTCCAACAGGCTGGGGAGTGGGAGCTCCCCCTGCAAACGCCTGGAAGCTGAGGAAAGCTGCTGCTGTATAAAGCTGCAACAGGATAAAACCAAGCAGGTGTAAACAGGTCCTAAAACAGCCAAAGAAAGTCAGGAGAAGGTTCCTACGCAGGAAATCCCAGCAGTGGCCAGAACTCCCTGTGGTACAGAGCTGGTGTGGTGGGGAAGGAATTCTGAGACACTGTACCTGCATCACCTTGCAGGCCCCTTCTGGACTCTGACCAGAAAATTCCTGAGGGTTTTCAGTGCCTTACCTGGAGCACAGGTGTTGCCCTGATTTTTAAAAGTGTTTTCTTTTACAGTTCTTTTAGAAGTCTTAAAGTTCTCATAAAACTCCTTCAGCCTTCTAAGCTGTTTACATATTTCTACTGGAGTTCTCCTACACTGTTCATGTAAATAATAATCATTTTACATTCTTCTTTGTAAGAGAAGAGAACTAATAAACTGTTAGTTTAACCAGCGTGGCTAAAGAAGTAGTAATTCCATCCTCCAATCCAGAGTCACCTCTAGAATTCTATAAATATCAAATACTCAAATAAAGCACTCTCCTTTTTAGCCTTTAAACTTAGCAAGCATTTATGTACTTACTCCGTGTCCAATAGCAACACACGGGGAGCTCTGCAGCACAGCTGTGAGCTGCTCCTGGTGCAGGGTGTCACTCACCTGATCTGTCACCTCCTTCAGGACAGCAGCACCTGAGCCCTGCCTGGCCTGGAGCCTCACCTGTCCCTCAGGGTGGGAATCCAGGGCTTCCCTCTGGGACCCTGGCAGGGGTCAGGAACCCCCTGGACAGAGCCCCCAGAGACACTGTCTGTGATCTCTGTCCATGGAAAAGAGTTTTCAATCTTACAGGATGAATTACAAGCTTTGAGTGGTTGATATAAGTAATAATTAAGTGTGGCACGGGTGCAAAAGTAAAATTTTAGGATTCTAGATTAGGGGTTCAGAGGGGACAAGATGGAGGAAATTGGGTGTGTCTTGTCCTTTTTCTCCTTCTTCATGCCCTCCATGTTTCACTGTGGTGTTGGCATTTTTCTGTTGGTTTAGGTTGGGGACACACTGTCCAACGTAGGTGACAGATATTGGCACGTTATTGTAAATCCAGCACAGGTAGTTTGTGGTATTTAATGTTTGTACCATCCCACTGGGGGCAGAGCCCCACACGCTGCCCTGCAGGACAGAGCTGCGGCAGGGCAGCAGAACATGTTAGAGATAAACAGAATAAACAACCCTGAAACAGCACAGACCAATTATGGCTTCTGCTTTGGCAACGAGGGAGAAAGAGAGACTTTCTACAATCTTGGAATCATCAATACCTCAGATTCTGACACCTCAGGGGTCGGGACAGCAGCTCCTGAGCCCTGCCCAGCCCGGGCATCCCTCTGGAGCCTCACCTGTCCCTCAGGGCGTGGTTTGAGCCTCACCTGTCCCTCAGGGCGTGGTTTGAGCCTCACCTGTCCCTCAGGGCGTGGTTCCTGATCTCCTCCACCAGCTGGAAGACGCGGGCCAGCGGCGAGCGGAACACGTCCACGGCCAGGAAGTTCTTCTGCCACGGGGACACGGTGGCTTTCACGAGGATCTGCTGGATGTAGGCCACGGGAGCACCCACGTACTGCAGGGACACACAGCAGCCTCAGGCCCTGGCCAGGGGACAGTGCACAAATCCCCAAGGGGATCCCCAGATCCTCAGCAGGACTGCTGAGAATGCACCTCGAGCTGCTTCATCTTCTCATCATCGCTCCCATGACATGGTTATGACAATGGGAAGGTGCCAGCAGCTCACACCCCCGCCAGCAGGTAAAGAACTCAATGCTGTAACTTATTTAAAAGTTTTCTGACCAATCCCACAAAGCAAAATCGTATTGACAGTAGTTCTGTCTAACCACTATAAGCACAGTTAAAATTTGGAATACAATAACTGCTTGTAAGCCTTAAAACACAATGCATGGAGTTCCACTGCTAAGCTTAGAACTTCTTAATATCTTGCTAGACATACTTTCCCAAAACCCTCTGATTTTAAAGATTCCCACAACTAGGGAGCCCGCAGAGAATCAGAGCAGGAAGGGCTCTGCCAGACTGTGTTTTCCCTTCCACATCAGAGGTGGAACTCGTCAGGCAAGAAGGAAAGGAGTTTGAGTCTCTGTTTCATCACAGGGACCTCACCCCCCGTGGGTGCCGTGGGCAGGGACACCCAGGGTGTGCCAGGCACAGCTGCCCCGTGGCACTGGGCAGCCCAGCAGCCCCGTGTCCCCCCCGTGGCCCAGCACTCACCCAGTCGGGGCGCTCGCCGGGCTCCCCGTGCCGCGGCCCCGCGCCTGGCGGGGCGTAGTCCTTCAGCGGGGTGCTGAACTCCACGGGGCCCGTGCCCGGCAGCGGCAGCTTCAGCAGCGGGGAGCTGGGGGGACACAACCGGCAGAGCTCTCACTTTGGGGGGTCAGGGATGTTTGTGGGCAGAAGAGTTAAAGAAAAAAAAGCTGAGCAAGAGACACGGCGACAGGGCTTGGATTTCGTGGGACAGGCTGCTGAACAATCCTCCTTCCTTCTCTGTGCTGCCCTGGGACCCTGGCAGGGGTCAGAACCCCCCTGGACAGAGCCCCCAGAGACACTGGCTGTGATCTCTGTCCAGGGAAAAGAGTTTTCAATCTTACAGGATGAATTACCAGCTCTGAGTGTTTGATATCAGTAATAATTAAGTGTGGCACGGGTGCAAAAGTAAAATTTTAGGATTCTAGATTAGGGTTCCAAAGGGGACAAGATGGAGGAAATTGGGTGTGCCTTGTCCTTTTCCTCCTTCTTCATGCCCTCCATGTTTCACTGTGGTGTTGGCATTTTTCTGTTGGTTCAGGCTGGGGACACACTGTCCAACGTAGGTGACAGATATTGGCACGTTATTGTAAATCCAGCACAGGTAGTTTGTGGTATTTAATGTTTGTACCATCCCACTGAGGGCAGAGCCCCACACGCTGCCCTGCAGGACAGAGCTGCGGCAGGGCAGCAGAACGTGTTAGAGATAAACAGAAAAAACAACCTTGAAACAGCACAGATTAATTATGATTTCTTCTTTGGCAGCGGGGCTGACAGACAGAGACTTTCTACAATCCCAGAATCATCAATACCTCAGATTCTGACAAAACTGGCGTCCCTGGGTGGGGACCACAGATTCCGACACTTCTCCCTTGGAAAGGGATGGAAAAGTCCTGGGAGAGAAATCAGGGAGACCTTGCAGGGCCTCTCCTGAATTCCTCCAGCCCAGTTATCTGTGGCAAAACCGCCCAGTAAGGCCATGGCTCAGTACCTGTGAATCCCACCCAAACCCCAGACACTCTGTGTGGCTGTTCCCTGCCCCAAATCCTTTATTGTCCTCTGCTTTTCCTCATTTAAATTCAAACTATCCCCAAAACTCGTCATTAACTTCACTGGTCCTCACAGCAGTTTTAAGAGCAGCAGTGAGACACCAAAACTATGAAATCTGGATCTTCTTGCTGCTTTGCCAGCACAACCTCCAGTGATCGTAATTCCTGCCCCACAACAGAGACTTTGAACTATTCAGAAACTGACAGCACGAGGTTACAGAGAGTTTAGAATGGGAATTTTACCTCCAAATGTTCTCAAAAGTGGTTAAAAGCAAATCAGAATTGAACTGGTGGGAAAAGCAAGGCTGCTGGCACACAGAGAATCTGGAATTGGCAGCACCAAACTGATCTGGAGAAGAGAACTTCAGGCTTTTTGTGGCCTTACAATTCCTCATATATTTCCCTGTTTGTAGATTAATTTTGTGGCAATACTGACACACGACATAGAAAGGCCTTGGAATTGTTTTCCTGCAAGGCTCTGCCCACTTCATTAGGGATTAGCTTGGATCATCAAAGGCCATGGAGGAACAAGCAGCATCTGAACACAAGGCTTCAGAGAGAACAACAAACAGCTGAAAAAGAACAGTGAAATCAGAAGCCAAGCTTGTCAGATTTGCTTTTTATTGGTCTGACAGAAATACACCTAATTATTAGCATTTCCTTGAGCAAGGGCAGGGAAGAGAAAAAAGAAGAATAAGGTCAAGTGTAAGTGATAAACAAAGCAGAGCACATTCAATAGATGATTAAGGAGGAACTATTTTTTCCCTAAATGATTTCAGTGTTGGTGACTGTGTCCAGAAATCCAAGAAAAGACTCGAGATTCACAGAAGGTGTTTCTGCAGGGGGTATTCCCCTGTGAGCTGGGAGGAGTCAAAACAAACGATTTTTGTCAAATTTGATAAAATTTCAATCAGAGACTGTTGAGGTTTATTGTGGCTGTGGAGTGTCCCCCTGCCCCGGGTGTCTGTGCTGGCAGTGCCTGGCAGTGCTGCTGCTGCCCCTGTCCTTTCCAAGGGGATCTGTCACCCGTGGGACCCCTCCAAGGGCAGGGGGCTCAGCTCTGCCCCAGGGCCAGGAGCTGACTCCAGGTGGGATCAGCAGCTCTGCTGTGGGGCCAGAGCAGGATGGGATTCTCTGAGCTCTCACTCCTGGTTCACAGCTCAGCCTTGAGGGAAAAGGGATCCTCGTGTGAGCTTGGCCTCCCCGGTTTGGGACCCACCAGCTGCTGGGAACACGGGATGTGGAGTGGTTTGGGATGGAAGGGACCTTGAGGAACACCCAGTGCCACCCCTGCCGTGGCAGGGACACCTCCCACTGTCCCAGGCTGCTCCCAGCCCTGGCCAGCCTGGCCTGGGACACTTCAGGGGCAGCCCCAGCTGCTCTGGGTCACTGGCACTGCAAGGGTGCCCAGAGGGAAGAACAGCCCCACCTCAGCTCCAGGGAAGGCATTTCCAGCACTGGGGTTCGACTCTCCTCACATTTCTCTTTGTTAGGGATTTTTTATTTTCTTGAGGGGAACACAAGAATGGAAAAGCACAGACAGAGGAGGGAAGAACAGCAGGACCTGAAACGGCCACAAAGCAAACCACAGCAGCTCCAGCTCAGGAGGAAGAGCCCTGGGGGGCTGGAGTCACCCCAAACCCACCTGGACACACCCCAGTGACCCTGCCCTTGGCCTGGCTGACATCCAGACCCTCCCAGCCCACCCATCCTGGCATCTAACAAAGGTGACAGGAAACTCAAGTTGTTCTGGTTTTGGGAAAGGCTCTTTCTAGATACTCCTGAATCCCCCCTGAAACCCAGAATAAAGGAGCACAGATCCTGCCAGCAGCTGGGACTGGTGACCTGCAGCAGGAGCTGCATTTCAGCCAGCAGCAGGAGTAGTGCAGACCTGTGCAAGTGTGATAGGTTCTTACAGAAATAATTCTAAATAAATATCTACACACACATACACCTCTCCCCAGGGGCTCTGGTTCCAGCCAGTTCTGCCATTCTTTGGGAGCAGAACCTGTGGTTCAGTTAAATAACAAAAACCCTCTTCATTGCCCTAAACCTGCTGCAGAGTCACCTGGGTCATCTGCAATCCTCACCTGAACTAAAAATTGCTCTTCAGAGTGACACTGGGATTTCATAGTTACCCCAATGGCCACATTTCCACCTGTCACCTGTTCCTCTCTGGGCTGGGGACACCCTCAATCCAGGGAAAAATGCAGATCCCACCACAGATCCATTCGGGTGGGATGAGGAAAATGAGTGTGACCTACAAAGGGATTTAAGCAGAACAAGAAAAGTCTCCTTCTGACATGGGGGCTAACTTGGATTTTCAGACTTTAGGACTAGAGAGTAAGAACGATCACAGGATTTTTTGCTTTGGGCATTAATTTATTGTCAAACCCAGAGATGCTGTGTCTTGTCTGTCAGTGCCATTACAAACAGGGTCTGTACAAACCCTTGCAGGAGTAAAGGCACCCAAAACAGCCAGACCTGACTCTGTGGTGACCTTATTCCCTGCATGGTCACTGCCTGAGGCCAGAACCCCTGGTGGATAAATTGTGGACCTTATGCTTTATTTCAACTTCTAAAAACTGTCTGCACCCAAAAATGGTGGGCTTTGACTGATGTGAGGGAGAGGAAAACCAAAATAACCGAGATGATTCTGTCTGCAGCAGAATCCCACAAGCTCTCCTTGACGCCAGGTACAGCAGACATGATCCAGCTCTCTCCCTCTGAAGAGCTCAGCCCACAAATCCACTCTCCTTTGCAGGAATGTCTTTATTACCCACGTTTCAGGCTGAGGAACGTGGAATGGAGCAGCAGCAGCTTTGGCAGGGCTGGGCTCCATCATCTGAAGGCCTTTCCCACCCTTAACAGCTCCATGGCTGTGTGAGCTCTGTGCTGGTCCCATCCAGCTGCACGCAGTGCTGAGGGTGCTGCTGCACAGAAATGCTGCTAAAGGAGCTTTTCCCAAAGCTGAGCCTCAGTTTTCCCCCTCTCAGGCCGTTCCTTGGCTGTTTTGGCAGAGGGATGGCTGGGATGCACCACTGGAACACAGCTGGGAGAGAGGAGCGCTCCCACAGCGCACGGGCAGCTCGGTCCAGCAGCAGATCCTGCCAAAATGCAGCAGATCCCTGCCAAAATGCAGCAGATCCCTGCCAAAATGCAGCAGTTCCCTGCCAAAATGCAGCAGTTCCCTGCCAAAATGCAGCAGATCCCTGCCAAAATGCAGCAGTTCCCTGCCAAAATGCAGCAGTTCCCTGCCAAAATGCAGCAGTTCCCTGCCAAAATGCAGCAGATCCCTGCCAAAATGCAGCAGTTCCCTGCCAAAATGCAGCAGATCCCAGGCAGCCAGCCCCTCACTCCCTCCCCTGGCCATGCTCAGGTGTAGGACCCCACTCTGGAATAGCTCTGAGCTAATTAGCAAAGCCTCTTCTCACTCCACAATTACCTCCTCGTTATCAGCGCTTCATGCACAGCACTCAGAGCAAACCCCCCAAAAACTCCTTCTAACAGGGACCAAGACCTCCAGCCTCACCCCAGATCCTTGCCCAGGTTCTCCTGCCCTCCAGGGGTGTCCCCGTGTTTTTGCCACCCGTGTCTCGGACCTGCTTTGCTAAGGAGCCCCTGGAACTCACTGAGGAAAACAGACTTTTCACTCCTGGTGGTGTCTTGCAGGGGTTTCTGCAGCCTGGAGGGAAGCAGCAGCTGCAGAATGCTCAAATGCTGGTCCTGGGAATGCAGACACCTCCACAGACCCACAGCCACCAAAGAGCAGCTGGCCTGGAGCCTGACTCCTGCAAGCCCAGCTGGTGACCCCAACCAGATTTTCTCCTCTCCGGGAAATCCTGAATTTCAGAAGGGAACATTCATGTTTTGATGCCTCCCAGAACATTCCTCACTGCCTTTGCTGCCTGGAGAGCTGGAATGAGGAGCCTGAGGAAGCCATTCCCCATCAGGAATGAGGTGACACAGTGACACACCTGGGACTCTGCTTTGGCTCTGCTGGGTGCAGCTTCCAGCTGAAGAAATGCCACTGGAAAGGTGCACCCAGCAAAGCTGGAGCCAAAACATAGAGCTGCTACTTGCAGTCACATCCAAGATGGAGAAATGTAGGAACTCCTCAGTTGGGCCTTGGAGAAGCTTCATGTCCTACAGGATGAGAGACCCAAGACTAAAACTGTCCCTGAAAATTACAGGGATTGCTGTGGAGCAGTGAAAAACCAGGAAGAAACGCCCCCAGTGCTGCTCACAACCTCAAAGGGGTTTTCCATGTGTGAAAATCCTCCCTGTGACAATGTTTTAAGCGAGCTGTGCAAGCAGCCCCTGTCACCATCACAGCTCAAAGGAAAACCTGTGTCTGTGGCAACACATGTGGAGCTTTTCTACAAACAGGGCAGCAAATCATCCAAACAGGGTTATTTTGCCCAAAAGAGGCAAGAGAATTAAGCCCTGCGAGACAGAATCTGTACATGCACACGTGTGCATGGTCTGGGGACAAAGGTTTGCTCAGCCCCACAGTGCCCTGCTGGAGATGACTCCCAGCCCGTGTGACATCCCTGGGAGTAAAATTATATCCACCTGCAAACTGGGGATCCAAACTGGGGTCCATAAGGAGAGCAGGGAACCTACTCCCACATGCCAAGGATGAAACAGAAGAGTGCAGGCTCCAGGGAGAGCAGGACAGGCAGGTGTGCAAACAAAGATCAGCTTTCCTTCTCCCCATTTTTAATTCATGGCTTTGGAGTCCACTACCAGGTGCTTGAGGGTTACTTTCATCTCATTTATTGCTTCACTTCACTTATTCAATTAATTTTTACCTATTAAACCTGATGAAGACACTTCATCCCTGCTGTTTCTTTGGTCCCACAAAAGGAAATGACAAAACCTATAAATTCTAAATAAAAAAGAGCTTCTGGGCGGGCCCAGAAGGGAGAAGAACCCCGTCCCCAGTGGCACACAGGACTCACCAGCAGGCCAGGATGCAGAGGGCAGTGAAGAGGATGATGGGGATGGGGTAGGAGGCGCAGAGCAGCCCGTGGCTGTAGAACGCCCGCGAAATCCTCTCGCGCAGCCTTTCAGTCAGGGTCATCCTCACCTCCAGGCCATCCCGGGCACTTCCAGCACGGGCAGCCCCTCAGGGAAGGCTCTGGCTCCAGCTAGGGAGGGCAAAGGAGAAAAACAGGTCAAGGGAAGGGAAAGAAACAGCATCAGCTCGTTTTAGAAAGCGTTCAGGAATGAGTTCAGGCAGCTGTGGCTGCCCCTGGGTCCCTGGCAGTGCCCAAGGCCAGGTTGGACGGGGTTTGGAGCAGCCTGGGAGGTGTCCCTGCCATGGCAGCAGTGCTACTGGATGGGCTTTAAGCTCCTTTGCAACACAAACCATTCTGGGATTTATTTCTTCATTCTATGAAATGACTGAGCAGATCTCAACCTCGCTGTCAGGACCGGACCATCTCTGTCCCAGGAGGAACTCAAGAACAACATGGATATGCTGCTCCTGTGGCAAAAAATGCATCAAAAGTGGCTCTCTGACCAGCCTGGGGAGGAGCACAGCACTGGCAACAACTTCAGGTAATTTCAAGGAGGAAAACTTGCTATTTACTCTCCCCACGTGCTGTCCAAAGCAGCATTCTGTAAGAAAGCTCCAAGCATTCCAAAGCCAGCATTTCTTTATCACTTGGGCGGGTTGCATATTAAAATCTGGCATCTTTATTTGCTTTGCAGAGCTCCTAAGAGTGAACAGCAGGAACTGTTCCTGCTCCAAAGGCATTTCTGCAAACAGAGATTATTTAAGCCAAAATAAACCTTGCAGGACAAGTGTTAAAGGAGAATTTCTTGCCTCTTGCATGACTGCAAATCCAGGACAAAGTCTGCCTGGAAGCACGAGGGCAGCAGGATGTGCCCACCTTGCAGCCCCACAGGTGACATTGGTGAAGGAATTTCCCCAGTGCCCACCTGAGCCTGCCCTGGTTGTTCCCTCTCTGTGGGAACTCAGAATGTCCCTCAGACATTTTTGGAAGTTCCAGGTGCAGGTCAGAAGATTTGAGACCCTGGCAAGCAGCTGGAAACAGCTGTGATTTTAAATTTGAGCTACAGAATGATTTACCAACCTCGCAAGAAGAACAAAAAAAATCACAACATTTTAAATATTATAGTAGAAGTAGTCACAAAGTAAAAAGAAAAATTTCTGAGTGCTGTACAAAGAGGTTTTAAGTCCTATACAGGGGAGTTTTGGTTTTGTACATGAGAGTCAAAAGTTTAAAGATAGAGGGATTTAAGCCTATCCTGTCATCCCTCTTTCTTCTTTGTTACCTCCATATTCTTAGTAATATTTGCACTCACAGATTGGTTTAGAGTAGAAAAACACCATTTAATATAAGTAATAGACATTAAACAAAAACTACAGACATTTAACACGTAATGTACCATATAAAAGATAACAACAGTCTTAGGCAGGGAGAAAGAAAAAAAAAATCAAAAAATATGTCAAAAGTGTGTGTACCCTTGCCTAAGCTACTTAGCAAACCTCAGCAGCCCAAGAAGATAATCATTTAGATAACTTACAACAAAAAACTTCTGAGCCTTTTTTTAAAAACACAGGTTAAAAGAAAAGTTTTTCCAGCACACAAAGCCGCCCACAACCTCAGGTGAACTCCAACACCTCTCCTCCTGTCCCTGTTCCCTGGGAGCAGAGCCCGACCCCACCTGGCTCCTGTGCACTCCTACAAAAACAAGGCTGGCCAGCAGAAAGATGAAATTTAAACTTCCTTTTGTGGGAAAAATCAACTCAGAGTTGCTACTTTTCCTCAGACAAAAGCTTTCATCTCACTCAACAATAGTTACACGTTCCAAATTCTTTACATTTTGGTCTGAAATGCTTTACAGCCTTCCCAGGAACTCAGGGCAGGGAAACACAGCAGAGCCCACTGAGCTTAGAGGACAAACTAACAAAGGTAGAAAAGTTTCCCTTTTCTAACACAGTCACCTGGGGTTTTAGGCGTGCTCAACTCAGTTTCCCACAAAATGTTCTGGAAGCAGGCCCCAGCATTAGTGTAATAAAAACACACAGCTGAGCCAGGGAAGCCTGGAGGGGGGAAATACAGTGAAAAATCCAAAATAAACCCCTGTTCTGCAGCACTTTTCTTGCATTCAACACATCCAGTAATTTGCTCCATCGTGCTGCCTATAGCTGAGCCCCTAATGGGAATTCCAACCCAGAGTTTTCCATGTACAACCCAACCTTGGCAAAGCAGGAACGGACCCAGCACGGTCCTTGTGGCCCCACAGCTTTTCCAGGACCCACAGATGTCAGGAGTGATCCTGCCAAGGCCGTGCTGGGGAAGGACAGGGGAGGAAGGAATGGGAAAGAAGGAAGAATTTACCAAAAATGAGAATTTATAAGGTCACTGGGTCAGTCTGTGCTGGTGCCCAGGGGGCAGATCAATGTGATGCTCACACACCTGAGGGCAGGTGAGCCAAGGGAGCAGCAAGGGAGGTGCCACCAGCAGTAAATCCCCCCTCCTGCTGCAGGAACTGCCTTGTGTCCATAAATCCATCCATCCCACACAGGCTCCTGTGGGTCAGAGCACCTCCTGCCTCCAGAGCACACCTGGGGGCAGCAGGACTGACACCAGAGCACCCAAATTCCTGCTGAGACTGACCCAGCCCAGACCCCGAGCCAGGAATGGGGCTGTGGGCAGGACAGTGGCACCTCGGTGTCACTCTGGGACTGGTTCAGGTACAGGGAGGTGTCACGGGTGTTTGCCACACTCTGGGCTACCCACAGCACACACGGAGCAGAGAGTGTCCTGGGTTCCACACAGAATACAGAATGTTCTGGGCTCCCCACAGCACACACAGAATTTTCTGGGTTCCTCACAGCACACACAGAATGTCCTGGGTTCCTCAGAGCACACACAGAACACAGAATTTCCTGAGCTCCTCAGAGCACACAGAATTTCCTGGGTTCCACACAGCACACACAGAACACAGAATTTTCTGGGTTCCTCAAATCACACACAGAACACAGAATTTCCTGGGCTCCTGGGCTCCTCACAGCACACACAGAACACAGAATTTCCTGAGCTCCTGAGCTCCTCAGAGCACACACAGAACACAGAATTTTCTGGGTTCCTCAAATCACACACAGAACACAGAATTTCCTGGACTCCTGAGCTCCTCAGAGCACACAGAGAACACAGAATTTCCTGGGCTCCTGAGCTCCTCAGAGCACACACAGAATTTCCTGGGCTCCTCACAGCACACAGAATTTCCTGGGCTCCTGGACTCCCCACAGCACACACAGAATTTCCTGGGCTAACACAGCACACACAGAACACAGAATTTTCTGGGTTCCTGGGTTCCTCACAGCACACCCAGAATTTCCTGAGCTCCTGGGCTAACACAACACACAGAGAACACAGAATTTCCTGGGCTCCTGAGCTCCTCAGAGCACACAGAATTTCCTGGGTTCCTCACAGCACACACGGAGCAGAGAATGTCCTGGGTTACTCAAATCACACACAGAACACAGAATTTTCTGGGCTCCTCACAGCACACACAGAATTTCCTGAGCTCCTCACAGCACACACAGGACACAGAATTTCCTGGGCTCCCCACAGCACACAGAGCAGAGCAGCCATCACCAAACCCGTCTGTCCATGGTCTGCAAGCAGCTCCCAGCCCTCCCCACGCCGTGACCACCCCAACTCTGACCACAGACACCCCAAACACGGGAAATCCCGGCTTCCCTGCAGATGCTGGATCACCCACACCAGGAAAGCAGCTGGATCTGGATTTTCTGTCCCTCTGAGCGATCACCCACTGCTCTCACGTCCCACAGAGGAGGAGGGCAGGCAGAGAGGCACAGGGCTCAGAACCCACCTCTCCTCTCCCAGCAGGCATGGACCGTCCCCAGCATCCCCAGGGAACATTCCCCAGGACTTCAGAGGTGGGAAAACAAGGGCCTGGCTCAGACAAGCCTCCTTCACAGCAGAGCTGCACAATGGGCTCTAACACCAAGTCCTGCTCTCCCCTCGCATTCCCATGGGAAGAATGAGGGGCTTTGTGCTGCCAGAGGACACGGAGGTCACGAGGAACAGACACTTCCTATGGGAAAATCCCAGCCATGCCCTAACCCGGGGGGCTGCTGTCTGCAAGGGGTTAATCCCAACACTGTCAGGAACAGCCTCCCAGCCCTAAATGGACTTTCCATATCCAAAAGGTAGAAAAAGGCATTGCTGAGTCCACTCCCCCCACTCCAGCTCTGTGGCTGAAAGTCTGACACAAGTTTTTGAAGCACATTTCAATCCCCAAAATGTGCAAACTTGCTTCATTTTACCTGTTCTGCCTGACTTTGCCAGTTTTGCCCCACTTTTTCTTGCTTGTTTTCCTCCCTGTACAACAGTTATTTATGGTCTGGGTTTAAGAATTCAGAGGTTATTTGCACAGACACATTTTATAAGTGGTATTTCACTCACATTACATATTATTAACATCTCTTGAAAAGCTGGAGTAGCAACAACAACAAAGATTTACAGAGAACACTTCAATAACCTCTACATGTCAGATAAAGTGATCTGCTCCCAAAACAGGGGCTGACATTCCAAATCAGCTTCCAAAATGGTTTTCAGGACATTTTTAAACTTTTCTGGCACAAGAGGAGAACCTCAGTTACGCTCCTGCTGTGGAAGTCATTCACTGAACGTGGTTTCTATCCTTTCTTCCTTCCCAAAATACTCCCAACAGCCCAGACAACAACTTGTTGCTGTGGATGGTGAGACAGGATAGGATGTTTCACATCAGAGCTGCAAAGCACACAAGTTTGGGGTTTGTGACAAAAAGAGAAAATACCTAAATTTAGAAAAAACACAATTTCAAAGTTCACTCTTCTGTTATCCCGGGATAACTCAGCCTCACTCCAGCTCCAGAGCAGCAGCTCAGAATAAACACGAGCTAAACTGGGGAAATCTTCTCCCCAGGCCACTGTCCCTGTCCCAGGGGTCACACAGCCAGCAGAGTGACCCCCAGGTCACTGTCCCCATCTCAGGGGTCACACAGCCCCAGGCCACTGTCCCTGTCCCAGGGGTCACACAGCCAGCAGAGTGACCCCCAGGTCACTGTCCCCATCTCAGGGTCACAGAGCCCCAGGCCACTGTCC